AATGATGAAGAACTTTTGAAAACAGGTTGGTGAGGAAGGTAATGGACTATGTTTGTGTCTTTTGGTGCTATTTCAATCATATTTAAATCCAACTGTTCCTTAATCGTTTTATCAATTGTTTCCAAAACTTCGGGGTTCTCTCGGTATTTTTTCCAAAGAGATCTGAGTCGGCCTAATGAAACCCCAAAATTCGTTTGTAGTGTCCTTTTCGATTCGATTCGCCACGGCCAGCCTACTTCATAGCGTCCATCAGGTAATTGGTTGATTGACTCCCTAAATTGCTTCCAAGCTATTTCATCATCTGGAATGGTTAAACCCGGATCTCGAATGCCAATAGTCTCAAGATTCCAAAAATCTTTTTCCTCTACTTTTTCAGTAATTTCTCCCACAGCAGACATTACGTATTGTGTTTCATCTTGTATTCCTGCTTCCTTTATTTTCGCTTTGCCGCAGATTATAGGTCCTACTTTTGTGCGGAGCAAAAATCTCTGGTTAGATAAATTTTCAATATTTTCTAAAAGGTTTAAGACGTCGGACAATCCAAAAAGTATGTCAGGAGTGCGTTGTTTTACTTCAATTTCTTTATCATCGTGTAACCAGAATTCCCTTGGGTCACTGGGACAATAGATTTTCATTTGATCTAAGTTGGGTGTGGTATACCCTTCGGCAGAAGTAATAGTTCCATTTTTCAATTTAAACTCGATTTTGATCCTATATGATGTGAAGCGCGACTTTTTACCAGCGTATCCATCTACTTCGAGTTCAGTTTTATGTTTAATTTCCGAATCTGAAATCCCTAGTTTTTGTGCAAATCGCTCACTAATCAAAGTACAAGTGGCTCCTGGATCCATTAATGTGAAACCTCTAATTGATTCTTTTCGACTATTTAGATATTCGATATTTTTAGTCATGAGCAGTGTTTTTATATTTTTGTCTTTCAGAGAGAGAGTGTTAATCTTTTCTAATTCCCTGTTATTTTGTATTCTATTTACCTCCCTTATTTCTATCAGGCAGTTCATATCTTCTTGGGAAAATCCTGGATCTGTATTCATATTTTCCTCTGTTTTTTCTCTTATATTATGAATAATTTCTCTTTTGATTGTGTTTTTGGGACAGACAGCAAAGTAATGAGGTTGTGTGCAACTCTGGCATTTTATCTTATTATTTTTACAATATTTGGCAATATGATTCCGCTCAAAACATTTAGTACATTTTCTCAAATCTTTCAACCTTTGTATTCTAGTCTCAAAATTTATATATTTTTTACATTGGACGGAACTGTGATTATCGATCTCACAAAAGACGCATGGCCTTCTCTTTTTATTTGTTTCATTGGAATATCTATTTATTTCTGGTTTTGGTTCCCGCCAATTAGTGTTTCTATCCCTCTCTATATTATTAGTAAATTATGATTTTGATTTTGGCGAGGAGGATTTTGGCGAGGAGGAGGGCGTCTATAATTCGATGGGGAACTTTGGCCATAAACCGCTTCTTTAATTTTTAGATGCTTGTCAATTGAATCTAGGAGTCGGTTAATTGTCCAATTAGTGGGATTTTTATTTTGTTCTTCAAGTATGACACAACTAGCCCATCCCCCGAATTTGTTTTCAATTTGTTGTAGCAGTGCACCATTGTCGATTTCTTCTCCTAATGCCTTCAATTGCTGGGTGATTCGATGTACATTTATCCAATTTTGACGAACGTCTTCAGTTTTTAATGCCCGAGGACAAAGCTTATTTAATTCCCCATACAATGATCGTTTAACTGAGATCTCATCCCCAAATCGTTTCCTAAGATGGTTCACTACTAACGGATAATTTAAGGCTGTTATTGCAAATCCGCTCACTTCACTATAGGGATGAGGACGAGCGAGGGAGGCAAGTAAATACGTTAGTTTTTCAGAATCGTCTAGACTATGATTTTTATCTATTGAAACTTCAAAAAGACTCCAGAAGCTTGGCCATTCCGAAACCTTTCCATTAAAGAGAGGAAGATTACAAACTGGTAGTCGAATAGAAGTCGAATGTGCAACCGATGTATTGGCGACAGAATTATCATTATGAGACGACGAGGAGACTTCAATCAGCTTAGCTTCGATTTCACAACTTAGATCCCTCGCTATTTCGATTAGGGCTATAAAACCATCCTCCCCCTCCGCGTGGGTGTTATAATCTTTCAACATATCCTCTTTCCTATCCTGCGCCTCGAGACCTATGAGCTTCGCCCAGTCTGTATTGATCTGTTCCAACACTTCTACAGATCTAGCTAATTTCAGTTGTTGTGCTCTCAGACTCGTTATACTTTCGGGGTTTACTCCATTATCTGATAATTCTTTGATTGACTTTATGTATCCAATTGTTCTTTTCCTGAGTGGACCTAATCTCATTTTAAGCGGTCCCGCGAAAGTGCGATTTGCCATTTATTATTTTAATTTTAAATACAATTTTTAGGTGTATATTAAATACAAAAAATTAAAAGCAATTGTGTGTATATAAATATTTAAATTAAAGCAATTGTAAGTATATTAACTTAATTATTCTCTTATTCTTTAATTAGAGCGGCTAAACGTTCAAAAAGAACTGCACATGCACGAGAGGTTTGTCCAATTTCCGAATACACTTCAGCAAGTTGTGCTGCTTTGCGTACAGACTCCCCCTTCTTTTTTGCTTCGGCTATTTTCTCTGCTTCGCTCTTCTGTACTTCCAAGATTTGATTTTTCACTTCGGGCTTCTTTTGAGGAAAATTTAATAATCTCCTTAGAAAGACTATATTCACCTTTGGACACGTGACCGGAGTCTTTGAGTGAACACGTTGGGGAATCACTGCCTCGGCACGTGTTGTTTGATGATCCTGCTATTGGAAGGATTAGATTTGACCAGATAGCAGTAGTAAGAATTTTAGCCCTCTTGGTTCTCCCAGCGATTACAATTCGGGAGTTTACCTTTTTATTATTGTTGTCGTTACGGGAAGAGTGTGGCCTTTTATGAGCAGCGATTGTAGGCGAATGTCTTGCACTTCCCAATCTTGGAATGGAGGGTGAACGAGGCCTTCTTGGAGCTTGCGGTTCAACCAAGGCAGGTTTTGTTTTCACAGCAGTGTCCGATATTGGGTTTGACCTAATCCAATTACAAGGTAAGCAAAATTTATTAATGGGGCAAAGAGTTTTCTTTACAACAACAAACTTTTTGTAAGGTGGAGGCCAATCATCATCCTCAGAAGTATCAGTTTCAGTTGACTTGATATCTTTACTTGGAACAGCAATTGGCTTCTGGTTATTGCCACGAGTTGGATTGGAAGAGCCAGCCGTAGAAGACGAGCTTGTATTAGTAGTTGTGGCGCGACCGGAAGATGTACAATTTAGTTTATTTTTTGAGCCAGAATCTGTAGTAGTTGTTTCAGGAGTAGAAACAAATTTTTTCACAACACAAATTAAGCAGTTGCAGTTAGTGTTGTCGGAATGCACGCCTTGAGCTGAGGCAAGTATTTGTTGAAGCACAGCAGGTTTAATCGATTCTGCCACTGAAATTTGAGTTATTAGTAAGGTTTAGTCGAGGTGCCTCTCCCGGAGCACCACTTTGTCAACTAAAAGCTTACTTTGACAAATAAATTTTTTGGGGAAGCTAGGTCCCAAGAGTTATTGAATAAAGTGAATTTAAATAAAATATTTATCTTTAAAATTAAAAATACAATTAAATATTTTTGTAAAGAATTAATGGAAGATTGAAAACTGAAGGTGATAGGGAAGATCTGCCTATTGTTTATATAGGGGATTTAATGGACAATAGGCAGAGATTTAAACAATAAGGAATAGAGAAGTGATAGGAAAAATAGTATTAATGAGGGGTGAAAAGACAATAGTTTCCGGAAAAAAGAAGAGAGAAGAAGGGGTCAAAGTGGATGTTTATGGGAAAATAATTTATGAAATTGTCTGTCGTGGACAGGTGAAATAAAGGGAAAAATAGGAAGAAATATTTAAATTTATTAATAATTATAATTTCGTGTTCCTTACACGACACAAGGCAAGGGGGAGGTGCTGGACTTGGAGATCAAATGGCGACGGGGCGGTATGCCTCTAGGGGTGAGCATGGAGGAGAGTCGGGTGAGCCAATCAGTTTTGGTTTAATGGGTTTGAGGGTTTTTTAAATTACAGGCGAAATACAGGCCGGATCAATTGCTGATGGCAACTTCCACTATGGGGACGTAATGGCGCACGTTAATGGCAAAAGAGAGACGGACATCAAGAGCGCAAGACCTGCAATTCTGGAAGCGATAAACAACAACAAAAGCCTAACCATTCGTGTGGAGCGCCCGGAACAATTGGGGGAAGTTTCGCCTCTTCCAGCAGACGTGGCCAAACTCATCAAGCGACAAATCAACTTCCACCTGGTTCACAATAAGCCGATTGGCCTTGAACCCAAAGTTAGGAGAAAACAAGCAGTGTTCGAAGAAGGAAGGGTGATAAATAATGTTGATATACCTGTATTTTTAATGTTTTGTATCTCATAATTGTATGTATATTTAATTATGTTTGTTTTTTGTTGTTGTAGATAGGTGTGTTTTGTTTGGTAAATAATAAATGTTTATTTTTGAGTTGTTTTTCTTGAATTTCTTTAGGTTTTGAATAATTTCCTCAACCATTTTTCTTTCTGCCCTTAGAAATCAATCTTAGGCTTCGGCCACAGAGCCTTTTTTGATTAAGGAAATCTTTTTCCATTTTACTTTTTCCATACCTCTCTTGAAAATCTCTTGAAATTTTTTGGTTTTTACAACCTACTTTGACCAATTTAGTAAGCTAAAAGTCGTCAAAAAATGTATGCAATGCTTTTTTATTTTATTGTGATTTTGGCGATCAACCGTCCTGTAGTTTTTAATAGAGAGTGAAGAAAGGAGAGAGTGTGAGAGGGAGAAAAAGAGAGTTTCTTAATTCTCTTGATTTTTTCTTTAAAATTTTCTTTTGAAATTTAATTGAAATTTTTTAATCAAATTAAAATCTTCATAAAATGGCTACATCTTCTCCATCAACACATCGTTCAAAACCAAAAATTGTTTACGATAAACAATTTCAAATGACTATACCCAAACTTAAATTACTTTTAAAAAAGATTTTTATTTTTCACGCAACTTTAATTATTGGAATTTGTGAAATCAAACTTATTGGGAATTTTTGTGTTTGTTTTCTAATTTTAAAATTAATTTTCTTTTTAATTTTAAGGCAAATCGATTAATTGGTTATAGACAAGGAAATCTTCGACGTTTTGCTTCAATTATAGCTTTGGAATGGGCAATGCTACATTTGGATTTGCCTATATATTTACATTTATTTTCTGTTTTTAATTCAAAATTGAATGTTTTACGTTATAAAAATGAGGTTTTTATTTTTTTTTATTTTAATTATTTGAACGGGGTTTTAATTTTTATGTGTAGGGTTGTCGGTTTCAAACCGAACCGAAAAACCGATAATTTTGGTTTCCGTTAACCGAAGAATTTGGTGAAGCCGACGCCCTATTTATGGATCCATTTTTATCTCCTATTTTCTCAGCTTAAATTTAATCAAGTCAAATTTGTTATAAATATTTGGGCTTAATATTTGTCCAAAAATTGGAATAAGTCCCATAAATGTTTTAATTTTGGTTCCTAATTCCTCACTAAAAGTCTGTCCGCAAATTTTTGTCCGCAAAAACATTTTTTAAAAATAAATGTTTTTAAATTAAAAATTTTAGAAGCTTCGAATCTACTGCTTAATTGGATTTGTTCTGTTACTTTTAATGGCCCACTTAACCTATCTATTTTATGTTGTTGAATCGTTTGAAGTTAATTCCTTTATTTATGATCTATCTGCAATTTGTAATGGAATTTGGATTCATTTATGTTTATTTTGCTATGGTTTTATGGCTTACAATTTTGGAATGAGAATGCTTTCGGTTAATTTCATTTTTTTGATAGAAGGGTGGCCGGTTTCTTTTAACAATTTTAAGACTTGTTTTTAATAGATTAGACGCAGAAAAATTTTCTCCCTTGCCCCCCTCCCCCGAAAAAAATTTTGGCTACGGGCCTGGACATAACGTCGATATTTAGATAAAAACGTGCGAAGTTAGGCTTATATTTTTTAAAATTTCTTCTGACTACGCTACAGAGAGCGACGACTTTTGCTCTCCATTTGTAAATTTTTAACTCACGCCCTACTATTTTGAAATTAGTGAATCATTCCCATAAAACATCATTAGATGATTATTTAAAAGATATTTTAATTTTGTTTTATTTTTGATAAATATTTTTAATTTTTAGGCTTTTGTTTCTGGTCGAAAACTTTTGGATAAATTATTTTCAATTCAATTTATTAAATTTATAACTTTAAATCGAAAATTTCAAGTCGGGCTAACTTTGGTGTTGACAGCTTTACTTTCTTCTACTCATTGGTATTCTAGTGATAAATTAATTATAAGGCATCAACAAATTAATCTTCCTCGTCATACTTCTACAAAAAATTCTTTGAAGGTTTTTTTATTTATTGTAGTTTGGGGTTTATGTTTGTTGACTGAGCCTGTTAGATTTTTAAAAATATCTTTGTCCTTATTCAATCTCTTCTCCATTAAATGGTGTACTCAAGAATATGATTTTAGGATATTTGTGGATCCATGTTAAATTTATAAAAATCACCATTTTATTGATTTTTATTTTGGTTTTATTTTAACAATTTTAGTCTAATTTTCATTTTGTAAATATGAGGGACGGACACAATTTTTTATATTAAACACCCGAAAAAATATCTATTCCAAACTAAGAATTCAAGAGTTTTTTTTTAAATTTTTATTTAACCAATGTAGCAGCTTTTTTGCTTTTCCCTGTTTTAATAAATTTCATTTCAGGTAGCTGTACTCACAGATTTACATGCTGGAGCAGCTGTATATGCTGAACAAATTGCTAAAGCAGTTGAAAATGTAAATAAAATTAAAGATTTGGATGCTGTTTTTCTTATAGGTTTTTTTTATTTTTTAGAAAATTTCAAAAAAATCTTTCTAGGCGATATAATCGACGCTCCACGTGACTTAATTGAAGAAAGAGTTGAATCTTTGAGACATTTACGCTCTCATTTTGGAACATTTTATGTGACTGGAAATCATGAATATTATTATGGAAATGTGAATGAATGGTTTGAATTATTTGAATCTTATGGAATTACAATATTGAAAAATAGGTTTTTTATTGAAAAATAATTAAAAAAAAAATTTTTTTTAGAGCAGTAAATTTAAAAGGATTTTGTTTGGTTGGATTAAATGATATTTACAGTGAGGAGAGCGGGTATAAATATTTTTTTTAATTTGTGTAGATATTTGATAAGGAAATTGTTTAATTTTCTGTTGCATAACCCAAAAAAATTTTATTTTTTACTTGACGAGAAAAGAAAAAATTATTAAAAAATTTTTTTGGGAGATAACAAAATTGGGAGTTACAGATTTATTTTTAAAATTAAGTGTGAATTGCGGTTGTATAATTTTTTTTCAATTATGGACACTCCTGGTCTAGCTCCCAATTTAATTTTTACCCTACCTAAAAAATCTTTTTAATTAAATTTAGAATTCATAATCACGAAATGGACGTTACTGCAATTAAAGCATGCCCTTTAAATGAAACAACAATTGTTTTGGAACACAATCCTTCTGCCACAAAACAAATTTTGGCCTTTTCTGAAAACTTTTCACACCCAGTTGATTTAATTTTGTCAGGTTAAAATTCAAAAATTTTTTCAAAAATTCTTCAAACTTTTACAAAATTTTCTTTAAAAATACCTTTCTTCAGGCCATACCCACGCCGGTCAATTTCTCATAGTTGCGCCTCTTGCCCGTTTATTCTTGCCATATTTTTATGGCCACTATTTTTTAAATAATGAAGCGACACAATTATTTGTTTCTGCTGGAACTTTATTTCAAAATGCTCCAATGAAGACACCTTTTATGTCTGAAATTTGGATTTTGGAAATTAGACCTTTTAAAAATTGAAAAAAAAAACATTTTTTGATATTGTCATTTTTTATTGCAATTTATAGCACAAATATTTTAGGAAAAAATTATGAGAGAACGATTATGGAAAAATAGTAGGCTATTTTATTTTTAAAGATTTCTGGAAATATTTTGAATTATAAATAGGAATTGTTAATTACATTATGTTTTTGGATTTGGATATGTATTACTTAATACTCGGGGTCGGTAAAATCGTGTTTGAGGGATCCCGCATGCGGGATTTTTTAAAAATCTTTACGAGACGGGATCCTGTGGGATAATTCCCGCATACCGCAAATCGAAAAAATGCGGGATTACGGGACGGGATCCCGCGAAATTCCGCGAGGGATACCGTCCCACAAAAACCTCTAAATATTATTCTAGTTTAAATTTTTTGATTAAATAAAAGCGCCTTTAATAGATTTCGTTTATTTAATATCTAAAGCAAAACAAAGTCTAATTTCCAGAGAAAAATAGAATATACCAAACATTATTTTTCCATAATCTTTCAAGTTTGCCTAATAATTATTTTTTATAATCGTTTTAGATTCTTTCTTTTTGTGCCCATTATAATTTGTCTTTTCGAAGTAGTCCGGTCTATTTTAATTCCGATTTTAATGCATTTAGCTTTTTTTTGATCGAAAAATATTGCAAAAATAAATTTGTAATTTTTAAAATAAATTTTATTATAAAATTGAGATCCTCATATTTTTTTAAATATTTTAACATGACACAATCTTTAATAAAATAATAAATGTTTGTCCAAAATTCTTCTTTTTTGTTAAAAACAAATTAAAATATTATTTAAATTACTCGTAATTTTTAATTTAAAAAAATTTCAAGAAAATGTCAATGCTAGCTGAGCCTAGAAGAAAACAACGAATTAGTGTTGACCCACAAAATTTAAATTGGGCAAATGATGAGAAGAATTTTGGAAAGAAGTTGATGAAACAAATGGGTTGGAAAGGTGGTGGATTGGGGCCTGAAGGTGTTGGTATTAAGGATTGTGTTAAAACAAAGGCTAATAATGATCAGAGAGGTGAGTGACATTGTTGTTTTTTTGTATTTTTTGTTCTCGAGAACTGAAAAGTTTTGGGCCTTTTTTGGGATAAGGAGAAATTTCCTCGTGTATATTCAAATATTTATGGTCTCTATTTCCCTTTTGTTTCCCCCAAAAAATTACAGTGAAGGCCTGTACTCGGGAATTGTCAAAAGTTTTGGGTATTTTTTGGAGTTTTTCTTTTTCCTGTCTATTCATTTTCCTCCTATTTTTGCTCCGAGACCCTCTTATTCCTTTTTAAAATTTAAAAATAAAAATTTATAGGACTTGGATCAACCAAAGATTATTGTGTTCCCCATCATGATGAATATGCAAAAATTTTGGAAGATTTGAATAAAGCTAGGGAAAATAAAAAAGAAAATACTTCCGAAAAAGTTAAAAAGAAGAAAAATCTGAAAATAAATTAAAAAATAATTTTGAAGAGGATAATGAAACAAGGAATAAAAACAAAGAAAGGAAGAGGTATTTCTCTTTAATTTTTCAATTAAAAAATATTTTTTAATTAAAGGAAAACTGAGGAGAATTTTTTGGATTTACAAACAAACAGTCTTACAATGGATCAATATTTTGCACAGAAAATGGCAAAAATGAAAAAAGTAAAATAATTTAATTTTGTTTTTAAAAGTGATTGCCTTATTTTCTCGATTAACCCTTTAAAAATTAATTAACCCCACTCTGTCCCACGGATCGGTTGAAATATTAATTTTTTAGGGGAATAAGGAGAGACTTCTCCCTTGTCTATTTTATATTAAAAATTAATTTCAGGGGAATTAATCGAGAAAATTTTGTGTTGTTATAGAATTGATGTTCATCTTTTCTAATGTTTTTGTGACATTTTTAAAATAAAATTTAAAAGTTTTTTAACACCTATTTTCTGTTTGTTATAACAATTTTAAATATTTGTATATACTTTTTAATAATTTTTATTCAATTTATTTTTAATAGAATTAATTTTTCTTACAAGGAAACATCGGATACTGTGACAAAAATTTGGTAATTTTTTTGGTACCTATCTTCTTTTCTTTAAGCTTAACCACTCCTAAATACTCAAATTTTGAATGTCCATAACTTGGCCCAGAGTCATTTTTCGAAGAAACTCGGATTGACTAGAAATTTCTAAATAAAACTTAACGTGTAGAGCGGTTAATAACCTATTGCCAATTTATGGCTCTGACCCCCATTTCAAAAAATTATAAGGCTTCAAAGTTTTCTACTTTTGGAACGGTCATCCCTCATTTTTCTTATTAAAGAGATTTTTCTCTTATTAAGGAGAAAAAGAGACTCACATCCTCAGTTTTTTTCTTTACTCTTCTTTTCGATTTTTGGTTAAAGAAAGAGAAAATGAGGGGAGGTCTTTTCATTTTCCATCCTCATTAAGTCTGAAGTTCTTCGATTTTAAATAATTCTTTTTTAGATAGTTAAAATGTTTTCTCTGCCAGATGAAGTTCAATTTGATGTATTAAAATGCCTTAATTTCAATCAATTATGCTCTGTTAGACTAACCAATTTTTACTTTTGCAATTTAATTAATAAATATGAAAGAAGCTTGGCAAGAATGAAATTCAAAGGACTTTTCCTCAAGGTGACCCTTTTATCTCCTTTTTACTAAAGTTTTTAGTATTTTCGCCTCTTTTTATCCCCTTTTTTACATTGCCACTTTTTTATACATATAATTTTCGAATGCGGCGCTGAGAATACTAATATCATGCTTTAGCTTCGAATCTGGAACTGGAATTGACAATAAAAAAACTGGAACTGATTTGATAATGGAACTGGAACTCAGAAAACTCTGTACTCCCGGTACCGAAAAAATCATTTGCCGAACGCTAGTCTTTTTAGACTATACAGGATATGATCTCTTTATTTGGTACCCTGATTTGCTCAGTTTAGTGTCAAAACCGCTGAAAAATAAGCAGAATAAATGTTTTCTGCTTTACCTTTAAATATTCATTAACTTAACTTTCTTTCAATTTTGTCAGACTGAAAAAACTCATCTTCCATATAAATTTGTTGAACTTGAATCTGGAATTTTTGAAGTTAATTTAAATGATCAACTTAAGAATAAGGTTAACTTAATTTAAAGTTAAATTATACGGAGCAGGCCCGTAGCCAGGATTTTTTCGGGGGGGGGGGGGGCGCCGAAGGTGCCAAAAATTTTGATTTTCAGCGCCGCAGGCGAAAATTTTTTAAATTTTAGAGACCGTAGGCCAAAAAAATTTACTTTTTTTGCCCCAGCCCTTCCCCAAATTTTTCCCTATTTCAGGGGGGGGAATTCCCCCCTACCCCCCACTGGCTACGGGCCTGATACGGAGCAATTCAACTGAGTCCCGGCCCTATAACTCAAGTACGGGTTGTTATTTTTAATGTTTTTTGTATCATTTGATAGAGCATCAGATGGACTATAATATACCAAAAAATCAAAATTTTTTAATTGATCGCTAAAAAAGTTATGAACTAAAAACTAACTTTTTCGAAAAAATCTGTTTTTCGGCACTTTATCGATCATGACTTTTTTACCGGTCGGTCAGGAATTTTGATTTTCTGGTATATTGTAGCCTATTTAATGCTCTATCCATTGGTATCAGGAGCAAAAAAAAAGTGACTAACCCTTCATAAGTTATAGGGTCCGGGACTCAGTTGAGTTGATCGTAAATTATATTTTTTTTCAGTGGCAAGCAGCTATAGACAAATCAATTCCATTGCTTTTATATAATTCTGGACCTAACAGAAACTTTATTCGTATACGAAAAACGTCAGGTTCAGAGGACGAGGAACCAGATTATCTCCTAATATTGCCAAATATTCCAAAAAATATTAAAGAAATGATTATTGCTCGTTGTTGGTTAGAACATTTATTTAAATGTACTTTTGAGTGGTCAGTTTTTGACTGTATATTTAATCCAGAAATGATCAATATTTTGTTTGATAACGACAAATCAATTTCTCTTAAACTTAACATTCAATTGACAAATCTTGATGCTGAAAAGAAAAACTTTGAAAATATTTTTAACTTTTCTTTCAATCATTTATCAACTTCTTACTTTAACCTCAATATCAGTGTCGATATTACAGAACAACAAACAAATATTTTATTTAATAAGATAATAAATGAAGGAAGTAAATTCTCACAAATTTGGTTAAATAGTTCTAATTTTGCAAGGCTTTATGATATTATAGAAGTAAATTGTTGGCACGCGGACATATCGAAACGGACATATCGGGATATTTCAATGTAAGAACAGTTACCTTACTGATTTCGGAACCTACGGTCACTAGGTCTTGATAGTATATTGTCCTGATGAGGAATAGAGTTTTTATGTTTTAGACCAAATGTAAACACTCAAGAAATAATTTTTGTCACACCAAACCCGATATGTCCGTCCCGATATGTCCGCACACCAATTACATGTATCTATAAAAAATAAATTTAATTTTTAGTATATAGCAACAGCGAGAGATTGTTCAAAAATTGCGCCTGCTATTGATTTATTCATTCATAATTACACAAATCATAAATTAAGTGAAAGAGCAGAGAAGGTTGAGATTAAACAAGAAGGGATTGTAAGATATACAAATTATGAAGTTTCTAATATTTACAATTCAAGAGTGAAATTTTCGTTTCGTAATGAAGAAAAAAATTATATTAACACTAAACCATATAGTGTGTTTAAAATCAGAAAAATGAAAGTATAAAATTTGAGAGGTTGATTTATGGATAACGATAACTTTTTAAAAATTATTTTTCATTGATTTTCGATTAAATTATTTTTTGTTTTATTTTTTTTCATTTTTAACAGGTTAAAGCCTGCCAATTTATTTTTAAATATTTTTAAACACATTTTAAACACATCCGGTTATTAACCGGTATCATAGGTATGGCCGGTTTTCGACCCCCACTTTTCAGTTTTTGATTGACCTCCTGTTTTTGGTTAACTAAGGCCGGGTTTACAAAAACTTTAGAAAATTTTTTGGGGTTAATTTTTGATTATATATTGATCTTATATAATAAGTACGTATTAATTCATAATTTTTTAAATTTTATTTAAAATTTTCTTGCCTTTGCAATTGCTAAAAATATCTGTTAATTTTATTGCAGATTTCATTTTTTCCGTTTGTCGACTTCAAATAAATTTCTTAAAATTAATAAATAATATTTTTAACCCCAAAATATTTTCATTATGTCAAGCCTCCATTTTTCCTTCAAGGTGCTTAATTTAGTTGATACGAGACCAAAAGCTGATGAATTGAAACAACAATCTGATAGTTTTAGAAAAATTAAACATTGTTCAAAAAAATTTCTTTTTTTCACCAAATATGTGACAGGTTTTGGAAAACAAAATACCTTTATAAAAATACAGAACAAAAATTTTACAAATTTTATTTTTAGATATATCAGATCTGAACATATTACAAAAAGTTAAAGCTAAATAATCACGATTGTCGGCATTTATTTGGCTGTGACTTTGTAGGATCAAATCAATCCTGCTAGGTAAAATAATCAACACATTTAGAGCCGACAGTTGATAAAATAACAATTTACCTAAATCGGTTAAGAATCAAGGTTATCAAGATATGCCCCTGACACTGAATTGGCGATACTGAATCGTCTCCTACCAGTTTGAGCGGAACGAGTACAGCCCAAGTAGGCGCGCGGCCATAACGGCGCAAAGCCATAACTTGCTTCAAGATTTCCGAATCTTAACAAATTTAGTATTAAACGATTACTCTCATCGAGCTAAAGAAATTGGTAACAAAATTAAATAAGGGTCAGAAATTTTCCAGCTAGTTATGACATTGCGCTGTTATGGCTGTGCGCCTACGTGGGCGTGTCCCGAGCGGAACGTCCCAGTTGAGTCCCTGATCTATTTTTGGGCATAACCTTTTTGATTTCTAATCGATTTAGATAATTAATATATCAATCGAAAGCTCTTGATGTGAGGATTATTTTTTCAAGCAAGATTGATTTGATCAGATCATCATACAAAAAGTTACAGCTTAATAAAGATCAAAATCACTATTGCGCACACTTATCTAGAGATGATCTAAAATCAATCCTGCCGATAAACAATCCTCATGCCCTGTCCTTTCGAATAATAAGGGATATATTCGTATTAGTTGAAATTCCAAAAAGTTACGACCCAAAATCGGTACACGACGAATAGGCGCGGCCGAATAGGCGCCGAGACAAATAGGCGCGGGACGAATAGGCGCCCGAATTTATTTTTTCGTAGAAAATTTTTTCTGATTTTTTCTTCTGAGTTTTTTTATTTTTCTCCCAATTTCTAAATTTCTCTAAATTTTCGCATGCGGCGCTAAGAGTAGGGTATTTAAATACCAATTTTACATCATGGAACGGCTCAGAAAAATAGCGGTTCAGTATCTCAGAACTCAGATCAGGGCTGTCGGCAAGTGAAAAAATATTTTCCGCAGCCGCAATCCTGAGTACGCAAGTATCTTCAGTCCCCGATGTCAATTCATACCTACTTATCTTATCCTTCGCTATGTCCCCCAACCCACTCGACATCCAACCTACATGTATCACAAAATCAGAACAAAAAAATCGGAACAGAAAATCAGAACAAAATTAGAAAAAAAATCAGAACAGAAAATCAGGAAAAATATCAGAACAAGAAATCAGAACAGAAAATCAGGAAAAATATCAGAACAAGAAATCAGAACAAAAAATCAGAAAAAAATCAGAACAGAAAATCAGGAAAAAAATCAGAACAAAAAAATCGGAACAGAAAATCAGAAAAAAAAATCAGAACAGAAAATCAGGAAAAATATCAGAACAAGAAATCAGAACAAAAAATCAGAAAAAAAAATCAGAACAGAAAATCAGGAAAAATATCAGAACAAGAAATCAGAACAAAAAATCAGAAAAAAATTTTCTAGGGAAAAATAACTTCGGGCGCCTATTCGTTTCGCGCCTATTCGGCCGCGCCTATTCGTCCGCGCCTATTAGTCCTGCTCCGACCCAAAATATAGACAGGGACTCAACCGGTGGGACTTAATAATCCTCTACCCGCGTTTGAGAGTCCGCCTATTTCTTTTTTGCTAATTTGTAGCGGCATTGATTTTTTATTTATAATTTGTCTGCTTTTATTTTTTTCTGAAAAAATTATTTTACAAATTTAGGATTTAAATTGTCAAAAATGTGCAGTGAAGGGGACGAAATTGTTAATGGAAGAGTCCCTCATGATTCTGAAGAAAATGAAGAAAATAAGATGCCTGTAAGGAGACTTCGAATGATAAGGGATATATTCGTGTCTAACAAGAATAAAGATAAAGTCTCACTTAAAAAATTTGGGAATTCTTTAAATCCTTTTTCAGTTTGTTCGTGTAACTGACCAAACAACAAAAGAGACTAAGGGGATTCAACTCTCATCTGATGGGACTTTAGCCTTCTCTTCGCTTGAGCAAGTTTTTCCTGGATGTTCGGGCTTGAAGTATTCCATTCCAAGTATTGGCGACAATTTCGTTGTTCCGTATGATTATTAAAGATAATTTAAATACATGTCAACTTATTTAGATTTGATGATAAGAAAATGGTTTTTACGGCACCTTCTGGCGGCTGGACGGGGAAGGACTTTCAATTAATTCCATGTATTGTTATTCGTGTGACTGACCAAATTACAAAAAAGCCGCGGGGTATTCAACTCTCCCCTGATGGCACTTTGGCATTCTCTTCGCTTGAGCGTGTTTTCCCTGGATGTTGGGGCTTGGAGTGTTCCATTCCAAGTATTGGCGACAATTTCGTTGTTCCGTATGATTATTAAAGATAATTTAAATACATGTCAACTTATTTAGATTTAATGATAAGAAAATGGTTTTTACGGCACCTTCTGGCGGCTGGACGGGGAAGGACTTTCAATTAATTTATCAACAACAGATTCCTCCGGTTGTTAAAGCGTCACCTGGTTAGTTTTTTTAAGATTTGAATTTGTTGAGCTTTTACGTCTTTTTGACTAAATTTTTTGATACTTGTGTTTGCACTAGACTAAATCAATTTATTTTAGACACTCGTAAACTTGTCAAACCCTATAAATATGTGCATGGTAACTTTTTGTTTTAATGAATATTCTCTATCAAATTTTAGGTGATTTGCCTAAATTTGACGAATTGTCTGAGTACCTTTTCTTCATTATTGAGAGTGATCGCACCAAGTCATGTGTAACGTCGATAACCAAGCATTATTTTGTCACGTTTTACCACAATCATGAAACCTGGAAAATTGGAAATTCATTAAAAATTTATCGACATGATTCCAAATCTGGCATTAACAACAAACAATTTTTCATTGCCACAGTTAAAAGCATCAACAAAAAGATGGATTTTATATTGTTAAAAACCGATGACGAAATAAACGACCATAAGCCGTTTTATTGCAAGCCTCCGTTTAGAAGCTTGCCTGTTGGTTACTATGGATATGGAAATGACCTCAACACTCTTTCTTACTGTGAGGGTGTTATACACGCTGATGAGTTACAATTTTTTAGGGAATCAGGTTTATATGACTTTTAAATGTATTACATTTCTTATCTTGAAATTAAAGGCATCGTTTATGGTCCTTTCTTGTTAGGTACTGTCAAATCTAAAGATGGCAATTCAGGAGCGGCTGTCTGGAGTCCTGAGGGTCTTGTCGGTTTGAATCTAGGTGTCGATTTTACTGCTAACATTGGCAAGTCTGCACCTTCAATGGAACAGCAACTAGCCCACTTTGATAAAAAAAACTACATTGTGACTATTGACCGTATAATGGAGCAATTAATGGTTTGATTATTTTTAAATAAGGCGGATTGAACTGAAAAGTAAGGCAAATTAGAACTTTTCATTTTTTTAATTTTTTTTCTTGGGAGGTACGTGTATTCCCGATTTATTACAATTTAATTTATCATAAAGTTGTAAATTTTAGGAACTTGAAGCAAAACCGGTTGTACCTGCTTATACTGCTAATCATCATCCAGGAGTCAGTGTTCAATGTGATTTTAGTGATATTTGACTTAAAATTCTCATTTAATTTATTTAATGTCTATACATTTATTTACTTATAAATTTGACTGCCTTTTATGTTTTTAGAAAATATTTGTTTAATTTTAAACTTACATTTTGCCTTGTATACCTTTTTCTATTGGGGATTTTGAGCCATTTAGCATAAAAATTGGTCGTAGTTCCTTAGGTAGGTGGATCTTCATGAGACCCTAATTTTTATCATCGTAGGAGAAAAATAATTTAATCTTTTTAAAAATTTAATCCGAAAAATAACCGAACGTTCAGACTCAAAATTGAGCCCGAAAAAGATCCGAATCAGCTCAGACCGATAAAATTGAACTGCAACATTATAGAGGAATATCTGCTTGATACGAAAATGCTTAAAATTTTGGGACATTCTTAAAGTTTATTTACGTTTTTAAAAAAGTTATTTTTCAATACTATAGGTATTGAATTTATTTTGGTAGAATATATATTTAAGTTGATGATATTTTTATTTCTTGGAATATTTACTCATTTACTTTTATTATATTCAATATTTGATATTTATTATTCTTCACCAATTGTGAAAGGAGGAAGAAATTTTAAAATAATTCGAAGCAATTTAAATAATGTTTTAACACCTGCTGACAGAATTGTTTTCTTTTCTGCAGGTTAAAAATTTAAATTTAAAAAAATTTTTTTTTAATTTTAGATGGCCTTCGTGCAAGTTCGTTCTTTGACAATCCCTATATGTCTCCTTATATTCACTATCTCATTGATGGATCGAAGGTTAAATTTTTTGAATTATTTTTTAGTTTAATTCAATCTCGAAAAAGATTTAACGCATCGTAATTTTAATGGATCAGAATTTTGTGTCGTACCGTATTCTCATTGGTTTCCAATCACTAAGTTTAAGTAAAATTCCATAAAATTCTTTACTTTATAATTAAAAAGGAAAGGATAGTTTTTTTAGCATTTCTTAAATGAATTTTATGATCTTTGAAAATTAAAAAAGTTCTCGCTCAACAGATATTTTTTTCATTTCATTTTTTACCAATTTAAGGCAGTTTGGGGTATTTCTGAAAGTCATGTGCCAACAGAATCTAGACCTGGTCATGTAGCTCTGTTTGCTGGTTTTTATGAAGATGTTAGTGCTGTTACTCGTGGCTGGAAGTTTGTAAACTCTTTAGAAATTAATTTTTAATCAAATTATTTTAGACATAATCCAATACCTTTCGATTCAACTTTTAATCAATCAGAATTTTCTTTTTTGTGGGGAAGTCCGGATATTATTAATTTATTTTCAACAAATATCCCTCATTCATTTTCTGAAGTTTATTCTCCAGAATTGGAAGATTTTGCAAGTGAAGAGGCTTCAAAACTTGATGAATGGGTATTTGATAAAGTTGAGGTTGTTTTTTGAATATTTTTTATTTAAATATTTTTTGACTTAGGGTTAGTGTAGTAGTTCCGATATTCAAACACAATTCTGGACGATTAAAACACGAGCGTGAACTATTACACCGGCTATGACCCGACGTGTCGGGCTAACTCACAGGACGACAAGTCGCGGAATTACCAAATCACGGAATATTTTAAAAAATATAACTTTTTTTAACAAATTGGAATATTTTAAAAAACAGTTTTAAAAAATTCTGAAGAATTCTGATTTCTAAAAATATACTAATTTTTAAATATTCAGTGCTTTGTTAATTTTGTGACTTGTCGTTCCGCGAACTGTCTGTTCCGTGAGTTGGAATTCCTGAGTTGTCCCCTGTCCGACTCGAAAGTGATGTCTCGTAATTAATGAAGGTCCCCATTATTCTACAGATTTAACTTTTTGATTTTTAAAATATATTTAATTTAATTTTTGAGTTTTCCAACCTATTATTTTATTTAAATAAATTTTTCTAAAGCAATTTTTCAATCGTGCAAAACAAGGGGATAACAAAATTACAAAACTACTTTCAATTAAACGTTCAATTTATTTTCTTCATTTGCTTGGATTGGATACAAATGGGCATGGGTAAACCTAACTCCAAAAAATATTTGGAAAATATAAAAATTGTTGACAGAGGAATAGAAAGAATTGTTAATTTATTTGAAAATTATTTTAATGATAGAAGGTTTTTTAATTTAAATAATTTAAATTTATTTTTTAGAACAGTTTATTTATTTACTTCGGATCATGGAATGACTGATTGGGGTTCTCATGGTATTAAACTTTATTTTTTTTTAATTTTTATTCTATTTTTTTTGTTGTCCTTAAAACATTAATTAACGTTTTCTAAATTTTTTGTATAATTTTTTTATATTCTTTACGGATCGACCTTACAGCCATTATAATATTTTTTACGTATCGATCTCCTATTTAAATCCTCCTATTAACCCTCCTATTAAACCCTCATAAGATCGATCCGTATTTAAATTCTCCTAAAACCCTCCTATTTAAGACATATAATTCTTTACGGATCGATCTGAATTAGAGGCAGGACTTTGTGGGTCGTAGGAAAATCATATGAAAAATGGGTCTGTTATGCGAAATTTCGACCTCGATAACCGAGCTTTTTGTTCGAGATCTCGTCTGGATCCGGTTTCTAATCTGAATTCTTTATTTATCAACCCTTTATCTTTTCTATAATATCGATATTTGCTTTTTATTATTTTAATTTTAAAATTCAATTAAAAGGTGATGGCACTCCAGACGAAGTCCAAACTCCATTCGTTGCTTGGGGATCAGGAATTGCACCAACAAAAACAAAAATTAATTTAACTCAAGTGGATATTGCCCCCCTTCAATCAGCACTTTTGGGCATTGCAATACCTTCAATTCTTTTGGAATTGTGCCAATTAATTTGTTGGGGCATTTGCCAGATAAATATATTTTTCAAAGTGTTTATGCAAATTTTAAACAGGTTTTTTAGAAAAATTTTTTTCTGAAATTTATTTTTTAGATGTCAGAACAATTTTTAATCAGAAGAGCAGAGAGGAGAGCACATTCTTTCCGTTTTTTATTTTGTGAATATCCAGAATTGAGTTATGAAGGTTTGGTAAAAATTGAAAATGAAATTATTCGGTTGGCACAATTAAAGAGATATGAAGCTGCTTGGAAGGTTTGTGTTTTTTATTGAAAAAAAAAATAAAAATTGTTTACTAGTTTAATTTTAAAGTGTTTATTTTTTTTTGGAATTTAGGCCGGACCAAACAGGGGTGGGCCAATTTATTCAGGGCTTTCAGGTTTAAGATTACCGAGTACTGGACGTCTTTTTTATGGTTCGATAGTTCGTAGAATTGTATTGAACCACATAGGGCGTTCTAAATCAAAGCTTTGGGTCCTATTTACTGGACAATGAAATTTAATATTTTTCTTTACATAAATAACTCATTTTATAAGTTTAATTTTGTTTTAAAAATTATTCTATTTTTACATGGAAAAATTATCGGTTGTTGGCCCTCTAAAATTCTTATAAATTTTCATTGTACCTCTAAAAGTGACTTTTTTTCGTCTACGACCTGCCGGATTCTTTAAAATTTTCGCCTGCGGTGCTGAACTAATAAGAAAGTTGTCTTAGTTAGATGAAAAAATGTCGAGTTCCGGGTAGCGCGACTTATTTTGTAGGAAATATTTTCCTTGCACTCCAAAATGCTCAAAAATTTCGCCTGCGGCGCAGAAAATGGATGAAATTGGAGGATTTATATAGAAATTGGAGGATTTATATATCAAAGATTCAAAAATCATCACATACAACGCTTAAAATTTAAAAATAGATGTCCTGGGCTCCAAAAAATTATAAAAATTTTTGATTTTTTGCTTTATTCTCAAGTACGAGTAAGTACGAGGTACGAGTACGAGGTACGAGGCCAAAAATAGGGGAGGTACGAGTACGAGCAAAAAAATAAGGGTGGTACGAGGTACAAGTACGAGTACGAGGCCAAAAAAAGAGGTGGTACGAAGTACGAGTACGAGCAAATTTGAAATTTCGAAGCACTGATTACATGTATCTATAAAAAATAAATTTAATTTTTAGTATATAGCAACAGCGAGAGATTGTTCAAAAATTGCGCCTGCTATTGATTTATTCATTCATAATTACACAAATCATAAATTAAGTGAAAGAGCAGAGAAGGTTGAAATTAAACAAGAAGGGATTGTAAGATATACAAATTATCAAATTTCCAATATTTACAATTCAAAAGTGAAATTTTCATTTCGTAATGAAGAAAGAAATTATATTAACACTAAACCATATAGTGTATTTAAAATCAGAAAAATGAAAGTATAAAATTTGAGAGGTTGATTTAATGGATAACAACTATTTAAAAATTATTTTTCATTGATTTTCGATTAAATTATTTTTTGTTTTATTTTTTTTTCATTTTTTAACAGGTTAAAGCCTGCCAATTTATTTTTAAATATTTTTAAACACATTTTAAACACATCCGGTTATTAACCGGTATCATAGGTATGGCCGGTTTTCGACCCCCGTTTTTCGGGTTTTGATTGACCTCCTGTTTTTGGTTAACTAAGGCCGGGTTTACAAAAACTTTAGAAAATTTTTTGGGGTTAATTTTTGATTATATATTGATCTTATATAATAAGTACGTATTAATTCATAATTTTTTAAATTTTATTTAAAATTTTCTTGCCTTTGCAATTGCTAAAAATATCTGTTAATTTTATTGCAGATTTCATTTTTTCCGTTTGTCGACTTCAAATAAATTTCTTAAAATTAATAAATAATATTTTTAACCCCAAAATATTTTCATTATGTCAAGCCTCCATTTTTCCTTCAAGGTGCTTAATTTAGTTGATACGAGACCAAAAGCTGATGAATTGAAACAACAATCTGATAGTTTTAGAAAAATTAAACATTGTTCAAAAAAATTTCTTTTTTTCACCAAATATGTGACAGGTTTTGGAAAACAAAATACCTTTATAAAAATACAGAACAAAAATTTTACAAATTTTATTTTTAGATATATCAGATCTGAACATATTACAAAAAGTTAAAGCTAAATAATCACGATTGTCGGCATTTATTTGGCTGTGACTTTGTAGGATCAAATCAATCCTGCTAGGTAAAATAATCAACACATTTAGAGCCGACAGTTGATAGAATAACAATTTACCTAAATCGGTTAAGAATCAAGGTTATCAAGATATGCCCCTGACACTGAATTGGCGATACTGAATCGTCTCCTACCAGTTTGAGCGGAACGAGTACAGCCCAAGTAGGCGCGCGGCCATAACGGCGCAAAGCCATAACTTGCTTCAAGATTTCCGAATCTTAACAAATTTAGTATTAAACGATTACTCTCATCGAGCTAAAGAAATTGGTAACAAAATTAAATAAGGGTCAGAAATTTTCCAGCTAGTTATGACATTGCGCTGTTATGGCTGTGCGCCTACGTGGGCGTGTCCCGAGCGGAACGTCCCAGTTGAGTCCCTGATCTATTTTTGGGCATAACCTTTTTGATTTCTAATCGATTTAGATAATTAATATATCAATCGAAAGCTCTTGATGTGAGGATTATTTTTTCAAGCAAGATTGATTTGATCAGATCATCATACAAAAAGTTACAGCTTAATAAAGATAAAAATCACTATTGCGCACACTTATCTAGAGATGATCTAAAATCAATCCTGCCGATAAACAATCCTCATGCCCTGTCCTTTCGAATAATAAGGGATATATTCGTATTAGTTGAAATTCCAAAAAGTTACGACCTAAAATCGGTACACGACGAATAGGCGCGGCCGAATAGGCGCCGAGACAAATAGGCGCGGGACGAATAGGCGCCCGAATTTATTTTTTCGTAGAAAATTTTTTCTGATTTTTTCTTCTGAGTTTTTTTTATTTTTCTCCCAATTTCTAAATTTCTCTAAATTTTCGCATGCGGCGCTAAGAGTAGGGTATTTAAATACCAATTTTACATCATGGAACGGCTCAGAAAAATAGCGGTTCAGTATCTCAGAACTCAGATCAGGGCTGTCGGCAAGTGAAAAAATATTTTCCGCAGCCGCAATCCTGAGTACGCAAGTATCTTCAGTCCCCGATGTCAATTCGGAACTTATTTACTTTAACTACCCACCCCATTTATTCGCAGGAAGTTCATCAATCAAACTTAATTTGTTCAGAAAGGTCAGCCTTTCTTTCTTCCCCGATGTTACTCAATTTTCCCTGTGGCATGTTCAATGAGAGAAATTAATAAAAAAAGATAAATTTTTCTTTCCAATTTCACCAAAATAGAAGTTAACATTTGAATCAATATTCTTATTTTTGCCATTTCAGTTTATTACCACAAGTTTAGTCCTTGATTTCATAATATCGTTATCATCCTTTTTAATTATTCAAAATGCTGAGTCGTGAATGTTAAGATTTTTTTGATTCGTCCATGTTTATCTAACTAAATAAACACAGCCGGAGAAGTTGAAACGCATGAAAAAAAGACAAGAATAAAAGAAAATGGTACCAAAAAAGTACATGGTCCTGCTTAACAATGTGGTAATAACTGAAATGGCAAAAATAAGAATATTGATTCAAATTCTTATTTCTATTTTGGTGTCATTCGACACAGCTCGTTGGCTCGTTGTGCTCTACATTCATCTGAAGACTGACCATTTTTAACAACTTGAGAAAGAAAAAAGAGGGGGGTACTAAATTCAAAATTACCTCAATTTTTTATTAATTCTCTCATTGAACATGCCACAGGGAAAATTTAGCTACATCGAGGAAGAAAAAAAGGCTGACCTTTCTGAACAAATCAAGTTTGATTGATGAACTTCTTGCGATTAAATGGGGTGGGTAGTTAAAGTAAATAAGTTCCGTCAATTCATACCTACATATCTTATCCTTCGCTATGTCCCCCAACCCACTCGACATCCAACCTACATGTATCACAAAATCAGAACAAAAAAATCAGTACAGAAAACCAGAAAAAAATTAGAACAAAAAATCGGAACAGAAAATCAGAACAAAAAATCAGAACAAAATCAGGAAAAAAATCAGAACAAAAAATCGGAACAGAAAATCAGAACAAAATTAGAAAAAAAATCAGAACAGAAAATCAGGAAAAATATCAGAACAAGAAATCAGAACAAAAAATCAGAAAAAAATCAGAACAGAAAATCAGGAAAAAAATCAGAACAAAAAATCGGAACAGAAAATCAGAACAAAATCAGAAAAAAAATCAGAACAGAAAATCAGGAAAAATATCAGAACAAGAAATCAGAACAAAAAATCAGAAAAAAAATCAGAACAGAAAATCAGGAAAAATATCAGAACAAGAAATCAGAACAAAAAATCAGAAAAAAATTTTCTAGGGAAAAATAACTTCGGGCGCCTATTCGTCTCGCGCCTATTCGGCCGCGCCTATTCGTCCGCGCCTATTAGTCCTGCTCCGACCCAAAATATAGACAGGGACTCAACCGGTGGGACTTAATAATCCTCTACCCGCGTTTGAGAGTCCGCCTATTTCTTTTTTGCTAATTTGTAGCGGCATTGATTTTTTATTTATAATTTGTCTGCTTTTATTTTTTTCTGAAAAAATTATTTTACAAATTTAGGATTTAAATTGTCAAAAATGTGCAGTGAAGGGGACGAAATTGTTAATGGAAGAGTCCCTCATGATTCTGAAGAAAATGAAGAAAATAAGATGCCTGTAAGGAGACTTCGAATGATAAGGGATATATTCGTGTCTAACAAGAATAAAGATAAAGTCTCACTTAAAAAATTTGGGAATTCTTTAAATCCTTTTTCAGTTTGTTCGTGTAACTGACCAAACAACAAAAGAGACTAAGGGGATTCAACTCTCATCTGATGGGACTTTAGCCTTCTCTTCGCTTGAGTATGTTTTTCCTGGATGTTGGGGCTTGGAGTATTCCATTCCAAATATTGGCGACAATTGCGTTGTTCCGTATGATTATTAAAGATAATTTAAATACATGTCAACTTATTTAGATTTAATGATAAGAAAATGGTTTTTATGACACCTTCTGGCGGCTGGTCGGGAAAGGACTTTCGATTAATTTATAAACAAAAGATTCCTCCCGTTGTTATTCCTGTGACTGACCAAATTACAAAAAAGACGCGGGGTATTCAACTCTCCCCTGATGGGACTTTGGCATTCTCTTCGCTTGAGTATGTTTTCCCTGGATGTTGGGGCTTAGAGTGTTCCATTCCAAGTATTGGAGAGAACTGCGTTGTTCCGTATGATTATTAAAGATAATTTAAATACGTTTCAACTTATTTAGATTTGATGATAAGAAAATGGTTTTTACGGAACCTTATGGCGGCTGGACGGGGAAAGACTTTCAATTAATTTATCAACAAGAGCTTCCTCCGGTTGTTAAAGCGTCGCCTGGTTAGTTTATTAAGATTTGAATTTGTTGAGCTTTTACGTCTTTTTGACTAAATTTTTTGATACTTGTGTTTGCACTAAACTAAGTAAATTTATTTTAGACACTCGTAAACTTGTCAAACCTTATAAATATGTGCATGGTAATTTTTTGTTTTAATGAATATTCTCTATCAGGGTGATTTTAGGTGATTTGCCTAAATTTGACGAATTGTCTGAGTACCTTTTCTTTATTATGGAGTCTAATCACAGAAAGTCATGTGTAACGTCGATAACCAAGCATTATTTTGTCACGTTTTACCACAATCATGAAACCTGGAAAATTGGAAATTCATTAAAAATTTATCGACATGATTCCAAATCTGGCATTAACAACAAACAATTTTTCATTGCCACAGTTAAAAGCATCAACAAAAAGCTGGATTTTATATTGTTAAAGACCGATAAAGAAATAAACAACCATAAGCCGTTTTATTGCAAGCCTCCGTTTAGAAGTTTGCCTGTTGGTTACTATGGATATGGAAATGACTTTAACACTCTTTCTTACTGTGAGGGTGTTATACACGCTGATGAGTTACAAACTTTTCTGGAAAAAGGTTTATATGACCTTTTAAATGTATATACATTTCTTATCTTGAAATTAAAGGCGTCGTTCATGGTCCTTTCTTGTTAGGGACTATCAAATCAACAGGAGGCGATTCAGGAGCGGCTGTCTGGAGTCCTGAGGGTCTTGTCGGTTTGAATCTAGGTTTTGTCGATTTTACTGCTAACACTGGCAAGTCTGCACTTTCAATGGAACTGCAACTAGCCCACTTTGATAAAAAAAACTACATTGTTACTATTGACCGTATAATGGAGCAATTAATGGTTTGATTATTTTTAAATAAGGCGGATTGAACTGAAAAGTAAGGCAAATTAGAACTTTTCATTTTTTTAATTTTTTTTCTTGGGAGGTACGTGTATTCCCGATTTATTACAATTTAATTTATCATAAAGTTGTAAATTTTAGGAACTTGAAGCAAAACCGGTTGTACCTGCTTATACTGCTAATCATCATCCAGGAGTCAGTGTTCAATGTGATTTTAGTGATATTTGACTTAAAATTCTCATTTAATTTATTCAATGTCTATACATTTATTTACTTATAAATTTGACTGCCTTTTATGTTTTTAGAAAATATTTGTTTAATTTTAAACTTACATTTTGCCTTGTATACCTTTTTCTATTGGGGATTTTGAGCCATTTAGCATAAAAATTGGTCGTAGTTCCTTAGGTAGGTGGATCTTCATGAGACCCTAATTTTTATCATCGTAGGAGAAAAATAATTTAATCTTTTTAAAAATTTAATCCGAAAAATAACCGAACGTTCAGACTCAAAATTGAGCCCGAAAAAGATCCGAATCAGCTCAGACCGATAAAATTGAACTGCAACATTATAGAGGAATATCTGCTTGATACGAAAATGCTTAAAATTTTGGGACATTCTTAAAGTTTATTTACGTTTTTAAAAAAGTTATTTTTCAATACTATAGGTATTGAATTTATTTTGGTAGAATATATATTTAAGTTGATGATATTTTTATTTCTTGGAATATTTACTCATTTACTTTTATTATATTCAATATTTGATATTTATTATTCTTCACCAATTGTTAAAGGAGGAAGAAACTTTAGAATAATTCCAAGCAATTTAAATAATGTTTTAACACCCGCTGACAGAATTGTTTTCTTTTCTGCAGGTTAAAATAAATTAAAAATTTTTTTTAAAATTTTAGATGGTCTTCGTGCAAGTTCTTTTTTTGACAATCTAGATGTGTCTCCTTATATTCACTCTCTCATTGATGGATCCAAGGTTGGGTAATTTTTTGAATTATTTTTTAGTTTAATTTTGACCTTAAAAATTTAAAAGGGCTACTGAAATTATTTTATTATTTTTAAAAATTAAAAAGATTTTTGTTACTAAGGTTGGCGGTTCCTGAGAAACTTTCTGAAACACAAACCGAAATTTCTATTAAATTGGTGAATATTGTCTGGCGACGTTGAGGGTGCCGGAAATAATTTTTGAGGGCCAGCCACATTTTTTTGAAGGATATTTTTCCTAATTTTTTGAACCGTTCTAATTTTTCCTTCCTCAAAAATTTATTTTTTTTTTTAATTTTTCTTAATTTTTATTTTTTTTCCAATATAATTTTTCCTTTCTCAGAAAATAATTTTTTAATTTTTCCCAAATTTAAGGCAGTTTGGGGTATTTCTGAAAGTCATGTGCCAACAGAATCTAGACCTGGACATGTAGCTTTGTTTGCTGGATTTTATGAAGATGTTAGTGCTGTTACGCGTGGTTGGAAGTTTGTAAATTTTTTCGAAAATTAATTTTAAATCAAATTATTTTAGACATAATCCAATACCTTTCGATTCAACTTTTAATCAATCAGAATTTTCTTTTTTGTGGGGAAGTCCGGATATTATTAATTTATTCGCAACAAATATTCCTCATTCATTTTCTGAATTTTATTCTCCAGAATTGGAAGATTTTGCAAGTGAAGAGGCTTCTAAACTTGATGAATGGGTATTTGATAAAGTTGAGGTTATTTTTTAGGATATTTTTGTTTAAATATTTTTTGACTTGCTTAGGGTTAGTGTAGTTTAGAGATCTACACGGGAGGGATCCCAGGCGGGATTTTACGTGATCCCGTCTTGGGATTCCGTGTTTTTAGCGACGAACGCGGGATCCCTCCCGTTCAACTTTTAAATCCTGTTACGGGATCTCGGATATGTAATTTTGCCGATCTCTAGTGTACTAGTTCCGATATTTAAGCACAATTCTAAACGATTAGAATCAAAGAGTGATTTTGATACTATTTAGATTTTCTCACTTTTAAAATATGAGTGTGAACTGTTACACCAACTACATATAACCCTAAAGTGATGTTTCACGTAATTGGTGAAGGCACCAATTATCCCCATTATTCTACAGATTCAACTTTTCGATTTTTTAAATACACCGTAAATGCTCTAATTAAAGCCCTCGACGTCTATTTTTCAATAGGTCAATTTAGGTGGGCTTGTACTATTAGATATGGGCTTCTAATAGAGACGGGCTTTAATCAGAGCATTTACGGTATTTAATTTATTTTTGAGTTTTCCTATTTATTAAAAAAATTTTTTAAAGGAATTCTTCAATCGTGCAAAACAAGGGGATAACAAAACTACAAAACAACTTTCAATTAAACGTTCAATTTATTTTCTTCATTTGCTTGGATTGGATACAAATGGGCATGGACACAAACCTAACTCCAAAAAATATTTAGAAAATATAAAAATTGTTGACAGAGGAATAGAAAGAATTGTTAATTTATTTGAAAATTATTTTAATGATAGAAGGTTTTTTAATTTAAATAATTTAAATTTATTTTTTAGAACAGTTTATTTATTTACTTCGGATCATGGAATGACTGATTGGGGTTCTCATGGTATTAAACTTTTTATTTCTTTAATTTTAGGGATCGTTTGTTTTTTAATTGTCCTTGAAACGTTAATTAACGTTTTCTAAATTTTTTTCTAAAATTTTTTAAATTTTACATGAGAATTAAAGAATTAGAGACAGGACTGGGAAGCAGAGGTGGATCGGAATTTCGACTTCCGATTTCCGACGTTTTTTTCCTTCCGATTTCCGAAAAAAAATTTTGATTTGCGATTTCTGAGTTCCGACTTTTTAGCCATTTCCGATTTCCGGCTCTTCCGATTTCCGACACCTCTGATTGTTCCGATCCACCTCTGCTGGGAGGTCATAGGAAAATCATGAAAAGGGCACGCGGACATATATGGATATTTCAATGTACGAACAGTTACTCTACTGATTTCAGTACCTACGGTCACTGGGCCTTGGAAAGTATATTGTCCCATCGAAGAATACTTTTAGAACAAATGCAGACACGCAAGAAATTATTTTTCTCACACCAATCCCGATATGTCAGTCCTGATAAGTCCGAACACGGTGTGTTATGCGAAATTTCGATCTCGATGACTTAGATTTTTGTTCCAGCTCTCGTTTGGATCCGGCTTTTCTAGTCTGCTTCTTTTTTTTATCTATCAACCCTTTATGATATTTGCTTTTTCTATATTTTAATTTTAAAATTCAATTAAAAGGTGATGGCACTCCAGATGAAGTCCAAACTCCATTCGTTGCTTGGGGATCAGGAATAGCTCCAACAAAAACAAAAATTAATTTAACTCAAGTGGATATTGCCCCTCTTCAATCAGCACTTTTGGGCATTGCAATACCTTCGAATTCTTTTGGAATTGTTCCGATTAATTTGTTGGGACATCTGCCTGATAAATATATTTTCCAAAGTGTTTATGCAAATTTTAAACAGGTTTTTTTGAAATTTTTTTTTTGAAAAATTTTTTTAGATGTCAGAACAATTTTTAATTAGAAGAGCAGAGAGGAGAGCACATTCTTTCCGTTTTTTATTTTGTGAATACCCAGAATTGAGTTATGAAGGTTTGGTAAAAATTGAAAATGAAATTATTCGGTTGGCACAATTAAAGAGATATGAAGCTGCTTGGAAGGTTTGTGTATTTTATTGGAAAAATTAAACTCATTTAATTTTAAAGTATTTTTTGGGGAATTCAGACCGGACCAAACAGGGGTGGGTCAATTTATTCAGAGCTCTGGTTTAAGATTACCGAGTCCCGGACTCTCTTTTATTATGGTTCGATAGCTCGTAGAATTGTATTGAACCACATTAGGGAGCTCGAAATGAAAGTTTTGGGTTTTGTGAAAAATGCGTGTTGTTTTTATTTCAATCTTTAAGTATTTTCTCTTTTTCACTTTTCATTATTTTTGTCCTTTCTCAACAACAGGAAACCCCAAATTTTCCAAAAATTAAAATTACTGCCTTTTAGTTTCACTAATTTTTAATTTTTTTCTTTAAAGGCTTGTATAAAATTAATTCCAATAATTCGATCAGCTCTAAATTATTTTCATCGTTATAACCAATTTAGTCAAGGTTTGGCTATCTGTGCTATTTTTTGTTCTTGGAATCTTTTACTTTATGCTTCACTTATTGGGTATTTAGTTTTATAATTTAATTTAAAAATAGAAGAAAATTGTTTATTTTCTTGGAATTTTTACCTCATTTTAAGCAGGATTTTTCAGTCATTATTAGGGCTCGAATTTATATTTAAATAGGACACAAAAACGACTTTGCTCATGAACAAGCCAGTGTCTTGACCAGTGTCTGACCATTGAGTTTGAACAGAAGAAATACAGATGACTAATGATAGATAGGATAAAAAAGGGTCGTTTCATTAATTTATTTAAATATAAATCCGAGTTTTACTTTTTATTCGAGTTCAAAAAAAAATCCCGAGGACTGTAAAATAAAAATATCAATTTTCTTTACTTTTTCCATTTAATATTTTTTAATTAAAAATTCTTTTTTTTTATTTTTTCAGAAAAAATTCGCATTTATTATTATCTTCTAAACAACTTTATTTACCCAATGAAATTTTATTTTTAATTTTATTTATAACCTCCACAATTATTTGGGCAAATGGATGGCTTTTAATTAATTATTTTTATTTTTTAACCCCAATCTATTTATTCTCAATTTCAATTAAATTGTTTGGAAATGGAATTTTTAATTTAAATAAATTATTTTTAATTTTTGTTGGATTGCCTTTTACAGGTTTTTTTTAAATTTATTTTTTATTTTTTTTAAATTCTTTTTAAAGTTTTTTCAATTTCTCTTTTGGTTTTTGTCTTCTTTGAACGTTTTACTCTTTCATTAATATTTTTGTTAATTTCTCCATTTTGGATTTGTAAAAATATTAAGAATAAACAAAATTTTGTTAAAATGAAAGAAAATGATGGAATTGGTACAAATTGTCGGTTTTTTTTAATTTAATTAGAGAATGGAGATTTTTTTCGGTTTTTTGACAATTTTCCTTTAAGTTATTGAGTGATTCCGCGGCTACAGAGCTATAATTTTAGAGAAATGATGGATTTTGTTTCACTACTCCCACAATGGATTCTTGTCAAGTGTCGAGTGCTTTTCATGATTTTTTTGAAAGCAAAATCACTTGACACGGATGTCATTGTATGAGTAGCCTTAAGCCTTAGTTATTTTCACAATTAGTTGTTTTAATAGAAAAATCTTTTCTTGAGGCATTTACTTGGCTGGAGAATCCAATTTTCTAGTAAATTCTTAACTCTGGGGTTTTGATTAATCGAAAATATTTTTTTTATTAAACAATTTAAAATTTTTAAAAAAACATTTTCCATTTTTTAAAGTTAAATATTCAAAACATCACAATGAGTTTAATTCAATTAGAGAAAGGCAGTTTAGACGTGAGCAAGTATTTGAAGAAGAAGAAATATTTCCAACAAAATTTAATGGTAGTAATTCTGTTGGGGATTTAAACAATAATAAATGGTAATTTTTTAAAGAAAATTTGTTTTTTAATTTTTTGGATTAGAAATTTTAGACGAGTTGTGTCCTGAATTTCTCTGATTTTAAAATTTAATTTGGGTTCCTTAATATTTTTGTTTGGATTTGGGAGACTGGCTGTTAGGAGAGTTGGGACTGTTTGTTTTCGAAGATTTCATAGCTCCCCATTAAAACCGTTTAAAATTGTTATGGATCAGAGGTCGATCGGAATTCCGATTTCCGACGTTTTTTTCCTCTGATTTCCGACTTGCCAAAATTTAAGGCTGATTTCCGAGTTACGACTTCCGAAAATTTGAGTGGATTTCCGAGTTCCGACTTTTGAGCCATTTCCGATTTTCATCACCTCGATTTCCGATCGACCTCTGATATGGATAAGCTAACGGGTGCCCCAAGCAAGCATTTATGAAACATTTTTTTCGTAGTTGCGTTAGTTTGAGTTGTTTTGTTTTATCCTACTTGAGAACCTTTGCGCATTCCCAAGTGCGTGTCCCAGGTGTGTCAGATAAATTTTCATGCCCTGACAAGAATTTCAAAAAATATTTTAATTTTTCTTTTTTAATTTTTAAAAAGGTATTGGTTAATTCTTTGTATTTTATTGTCTATATTTCCTCTATTGGATACAGTTGGTAATTCTCAAAGGCCTTTACTTGTTATTTTTGCAGAATTTATTTGTTGTGTTTTTATATTTTATTTAAATTATTTTAAATATTTTAATCAAAAATTAATTGTATTTATTGGAATATTGCATTTAATTACTTTTTTGATTGTTTTATTTGATTATTTTGAGGTAAAATTTTTTTTTAATTTTTCATTTAAAACTGCTGTCTTTCCTTTACTATACTAATTTTTGTTTAAATTTTAAAAATTCAAAAATTATTTTTTTATAGATTTTTGAAACTTTTGGATCTCTTATATAACAATGGAATAATATTTAGCAGTTTTTACAGTCAGACCCCGCTATAAGAAAACCCCAGTTTTTACCAAGATATCTGAAATTTATTTTTTATTTCTGCACAATCCCTGCTATAGTACTGACCTCAATTTAATTTACGTCTTTCTAATTTTGAGCCAGAGGTGGGGGGATGGAGGCCAGCTTAACTTTTAGTCTAGGAACAAGCCGTCCCGCTTCCCGAAATCGTAAATTAAAAATTTCTCTGGAATCTCAATCTCCCAAAGTCGGAAATTTTGTTTTTTTTCTCGGCTCTTTCCCTGCTATACACATTCAAAAATAAATTTTTTGTCCTTAAAATGTTTTAAATTTGAAAAAAAATTTTTAAAAATTTTTTTTTATTTTTTTCCAGTTCCAATTAACCACCAACAACAATTTATTCAAACAATTATTTGCTTGGATTAATATTCCCCTTTCTTTTATCCTTCCTCTTCTTTGGAAACAAAAAATAAAAACAACAAAAATTAATTTAAATATTCAATTAATTATTTGGAGTATTTGTTTACAAATACCTTTTAGTTTATTGTCTATTTCACATGAAGCTTTATTTCTTTGTTTATTTTCTGCTTTTTTAAATGTTTATTTTCAATTGGAATTAGGTAGGAAAATTTTTTTTTTTAAATTATTAAAGAGAAGAGGGGTATGTTTGGTGTTTTGAGAGGAAAGAATTTAGGTGTAGAGTTTGTTTTAAAATTAGTAAAAGAAGTTTGGAGGTTTTAGTGATCATAGGTTTAGTTTTCAATTATTTTTTACTTTCTGTTGTAAAAATATTAAGACTGGAGGTTTTTTGAGAATTTATATTAGACGACTTTAAATTTTTTAGTTTTGTTTTCAACTGATGTTGAGATAGAAAAATTAAGGGGAGTTTGGAAAATGTTTTGAGGTTAAGTTAAGCTTCCATTAGGGGGGGAAAATCAAAGTTTAGAGTGAGCTTGCAGCGATGCTTTGACGTTTGACAAAGAGGTGTTTTGCAAGGCAAGGTTGTTTTAAAAAGTTTTTAATATAGGGAGTAAAGCTTTCCAACTGCTTTTGTTTGAAATATAAGCAGAAATGTAGGGAGGGATAATGAAGGATAATGAAAAGGGGAGAGATTTAAGTGTCCTGGACATTTTCTCAGCTTCAACTTTTAAGCCTTGAGGATTGTTTATTTAAGCATTTTTATACTACAAATCGGCAATCAAAAACGGAAAGATATTCAATTTTTTTATTCACTATAAATTACACAATACAAGCTAAATACAACAACAATTTTGGGCAAAACAAAAAATACAATAGCAAAACAATATTTATTTATATCAAGTTTTGTCCATCTCTTTCCTCGTTTTAATGTTTGTTGGCGCCCAACAAAGTTCCGCATACCGAGCAGTGATGGCTATAGTCGAAGGCCGAGGTCCAGCAGCAGAGAAGAGGAGTAAGACAGAAGCCGCCGATCAGAGTTACCACGATACATCCTATGGCGAACATATTGTTTGGATCCTTCACGACCCTCGTTAGACCTTCTGCGCCACAGTTGTTGCACTGGAGCTGAAAAAATTAAAAAGATTGATTTTGAAGAGATTTAAATGAAAAAATAAATCAACATACCGTCACAGGATACGGGCCACACATTGGATTGTTCATCATGGGATGGATCATCTTTGTTGTTGCAGGCAGCGATACGTTGGCGTCGACGGAAGAGAAGAAGAAGAAGATTTGTTTTTTGAAAAAATTTGTAGTGCTTTTATAGTGAAAAGTTAGCCTTAATTTTAGTCTTAAACTTAGGCGAATGACCCGTGAATTAAAATAATTAATTAAAGATAGTTTGGTGGGAGTTGGGGGTTTATTGAGCTAGAAGACGGGAGTGAACTAAGGAAAAGTTTGAAGGAATATTTAGAATACAAAAAAATTTTTTTTAATTCTTTTTAAAAATTTTTTTTAGATTTTTCTTCACCCAATAAAAATATTTTTGAATCTAGTCAACAAAAGAATAAAAATATTAATTTATTAGAATTTATGAAAGCTGTATTTTTGGTTATTTGTATTGAAATGGGTAAGTAAAACTTTAATTCTTTATAAGGGGACTTAAAAAGTTTTTCAAAACATTATTCCCCAATTTCTTTTTAAAAAATTCGCAAATACAAAAAGTTACTTCAGATTTCATTGTTCTTATTTTAATAAGAATTATACACCTTGTGGAGTCCGGAAATTTGGATCAGTGGAATTTAATTGCCAAAATAATATAAAATTAGGTTTAAAGGGTTAACTAGGCCAGTCGGTCTTGGATAATGCTTAGAATTATTTAAATTATTCTAAAGCAAGTATAGTGCCTGAAACATCCATTTTTGTTTACTTCCCTGATGACCGAAATTCCACTGACTAAAAATTTCTGAGCTCCAATTGTCTATACTGTTAATTAGAGGTCGATATTATTGAAAAGCCTGAACCTATTCCTGGGTTTGATTTATTGACCTGGGCCGGATCCTGAGCCTGTAGTCCAGGATAAACCCAGGAAGATCAAAAATGTCTGGGCCTGGACTCTGGGTACAGGAAAAACCTAGGCCTTGTTCCAGGCCCAGCTCGATCTCTAAAGTGAATTGTCCCACTTTTTAAAATAAAAAAATTCTTTTTTTACCAAATAATTTTCTTTTCAGCATTTTTTGGAACTGGAAATATTTCTTCATTAAATTCATTTAATCCTTCATTTCTTCATCATTTTATTTCAATATTTTCTCCTTTTATTATGGCAGCACTTTTACTTTTAAAAATATTTATTCCTTTTTTATTAGTTTCTCTATATTTTGTTTCTTCTTCTTTTAAATTTAATCAAAATAATAATGAAGTAATTAAAAGATTATCTACAATTGTTGCTTTAATTACAAATACTATGGCTATGGTAGGTTGGGGAGACTTTTGAGTGTCTGTACAATTCGCCGATGCGGACAATTCGCCGAAAAGGGGTTTTTATGTTCCTAAATTGGATGATACTTTCCACCATGATTACACCTCATATTTGAGCCCTTTTTCTAACTTATTCCGATCTCTCTCTCTCTCTCTCTTTAATAAAGACTTCACCATGATGCATTTTTTGAGGTATAAATATTATATCCTATGATGAGCCATGTCCAATTTTGGAGGTAACATTTAGGCAACTAACTCCCTCTTCCCTAATGGCCAGCAAAATTAAAAAAAGCATTTTAGTAATTTGAGGTGTATCCTATAGTGAAAATGAAAAGCGGTTATTCCCTTTTGTGAATGATCGTTTTTCGATTACTATTCACGAAACTGACCGTTTGTTTAAAAAGGGTAATGTCGAAAGTTTTCGTGATTTCTTTCTTTGGTGAACGTCCAAAAATATTTTTAGTAATTTATTTTTAAATTTCTTTTCCTTTTAGGTATTCTTTTATTGTCTTAAAACAGACGGTTCTTGGCTTCAAATAGGCATTTCAATAAGTAATTATGTTATTTGCCTTGTTTGTTCAGCAGCAACTTATTTGTTGTTGCATTTGGCTAATTGGCTTTTATTTTGAAGAGAAAAACGGATTGATTTTAATTTTTTGTATTTATTTGTTAAATTTTCTGTACAGTCGGACTTCATTTTTACATAAACCCATTGAGGATGATAAAAGTAAAATTGAGACTATCTGATATTTGGGGATAAAGCCTAGGCATTTCCTCTACCCAGTATCAAGCAAATTGAAAAAAATATTTTTGGGTTATGTAAAAAATGAGGCTTTGTTTACTTAAGTAATTCTTATTAAATGATAAATATTTTACAGTCAAATTATCCCAATTTTATCAAAAATAAATTTAACACATTTTTATTTATGCTTAAAAATTCTTTTAAATTATTTAAATATCACAAAAATAAAATTAAAAGAAATTATTTCCTCCACCTTCAATCAAGTTTTAAACCAGCTTGTAGAAATTTTGTCATAAAGAGAAGAAAATGAAGAAGTAGAAGATTGCTGTTGTCCTTTAATTCCTTCAAAACGTTGGGGGGATTTTGATGATTGTCTTTTTTGTTGTTTAGTAATTGATAAATTTTTATTTTCGTTTTCTTCACCTTTCCATTGATTTGTTGAATCCTTTAATAATATTTTTAAAAAATATATTTTTTAAATTAATTTTTGTATTTTTTACTCGAAATTTGGAAAGACGTGGAATTTGTGCCAAACGTTGAACATCCTGAACGCGTGGTATAAGGTCAACTAAAGAACTATAACTTTCTTCAAGTTGGGATTCTTTGTTAAAAGCAGTTATTGGTTCTGATTGTAATTGACCAAACATCATCTTTAAAAAATATTTTAATTAAGGAAAACATTTTTAAAATTAAAAGCTTTTATTTATTCCCCTAGGATTACAATTTTAAATATTCCCAATTTTAATTCAGTGCTTTTGGATACGATTTTTAAAATTGATTGTCTACTTGGTGGGATATAGCTGCCTAAGCGATAGCCTCAATTCTAGATAACTTAGTTTTTAGTTCGTTATCTTTTCTAAGAAATATTTTTTTCCAAAAATTGTTTGTCTACAGCTCCATAGGGGTATTTAAAATTTAGATCAGTCTATATTTTTCTCTATCTTTCGAAAAACTAAAAAAATATTTTCTAAAATTATTCACAAACATACAGCAGTTCGTTGTGCAAATAATTTAGCATTTCTAAGTAAAGGTTCATGTAATATATTCATTTCTATTGGATCCATTTTTGATTCAATTTGTTTACTAATTTCCAAAAATTGTTTATCTGGAAACATTTGAAAGAATGCTTTACAATCAAAAATTAATTGAACACAAATAGCTGGTATTGAAGCACAATTATTTAAACATTGTTGAAGTATAAGAGTAAATAAATGGCCTAGTAAAAAAGAATGATTAAAAATAGAGAAAAGGAAAAAATTTATAAAAATAGAGTCATTGACACAGTAGCGCGACAAATATAAAGTACTTGAAAATGGTGTCAGCGAAGCTTTTAGCAATAACTGACAAGTAGGGTAGGACCCCGAATCCTAAGGGCACGTTTTTCAGGGAGCGTTGGAGGATGATTAACAATAAATTGTGAGTGTTATTCTATCAGTCATCCTCCAACAAAACGATTTGGGAAGAGAAACGAGCTGGCTAGGGGAGATAATTTAAACTAAATTTTGTTTGGGAAGATAATGAGAATATTCTTTCGGTTAGAAAGTTTATGTTTTCTCAAAAAAAAGTTTTTTTTTCAAATCTAGGAATTCAATTCTTAGAAAAGAAAGGGCATTGATTAAACAAAATTAAAAGATTCTTTTCTATAAAAATTATTATTCCCCTTCATTAAAGCCTACCAATTTGTTTAGAAACGTGTAAAGTAACATTTTTAGTAAATAAATGTCCAAGAGAATTTTGATTTAATTCTGAACAAATTTCCGTCAAAAGAATATAAAAATGAGAAGAAATTTGTGTTGGCACAAGAATTTCAACTGTTTCAGAAAGTTTAACATGTTCTGGTTCCTAAAACAAGAATTTTTATTTCTTTTTAATTTAAGAAAAAATAAAATTTGTGGACAAAAACAATTTTTTCACTTAAAAACATTTTTTTAAAATTAAAAATTCCAAAAAAACCTGTAAAATATCCATCCACCCATACCAACTCAAAACATTTTCTAACAATTGTGAATATAAATTACTTGCACGAAAATGTTCATTAATTACACAATTCATAAATTGACTTAAATTAAAAAAATGAGACCGCTAATTTTATTTTAAAAATTTTTTTCTCTTCGATTTTGGAGCGTAGGATTGAGGAAATAAAATTTTAAAATTCTTAATTTACTTAATCAAAAAAAAATGAAATCAAAATTTCTTAATAAAAGGTTGTTCAGGATCGGTTAGATTTTGCCTGTGGCGGCTCAAAAGCTTTTAGTATTATCTTCCATCTGGACTGCCACAAATAAAAATTAGTTGGTCAGCTTGATATTTTTCCTTATTTTCTTTGAGGTTTAAATAAAAACCAAGGAAAAATTAACCATGCCGAGGAACCAAGGAAAAATATCAAGCCGGCACTTCCGACAATCATTTCATATAGTCAACAGCTCTATTATTTATAAAAAAATTTAAGAAAAAAACCAAAGAGCCTCTTCAGTAGCATTGTGTAACAATTTATTACAATTCACAATTCTTTCCAAATTATGATTCATACATTGACATAAAATAGAAGGTTCATGTTGTACTAATGCCAAAAGTAAATGAAAAATAGATAGCCATTTTTCTCTTAATTCTCTCGTTGTTATTATATTTTCGTTATTATTATTAAATAAAAATAAAGAATTTTTATTTTCTTCAAAATTTGTTGGTTGTTGTTCTGTTATTGGTTTAATTAAATTAATTTCCCATTCAGAAAAATTTGTTAATCTGTGAAAATTAAATTCAAAAAATTAATCTTTTTTTTATTAAGAAAAAAAATTTTGTAGAATATTCCAAAGCTCTTTTAAATGGTAGCTTTTATTTTTTATTTATCAATTGGAATTCAATTGTCACTCCTATTTAAGTCTATTCATTTGTCAGTAATCTACTTATTAAATAAATTAATTCCAAGTAAATTAGAAAGGGACAGCCCAAGTAGGCGCGCATCCATAAAGCCGCAAAGCCATAACTTGATGGAAAATTTCTGGCCCTTGTCAATTTTGGTACCATTCTCTTTAGTTCGATGAGAGGAATCGTTTAATACTAAATTTGGTAAAATTCAGAAATTTTGAAGCAAGTTATGGCTTGGCGCCGTTATGGCCGCGCGCCTACTTGGGCTTTACCCAATTAAAAGTATATAGGAGTAGTCAAAGGAGTAAAATAAGCAAAAAACCTCCTCAAAAGCCTATCACGTGATTTAAATTTTTTTAAATTAAAAACCAAACCTTTCAACCATTAAAAGAACTTTTTCTGCCAAAACATTATAAAGTTCCCCAACATTTTCTTCTTGCCCAACATTTGTATATTTATAAACATTTTTTTGTAATAAAAGTAATTGTTCACTAAATTCTGAAACTAATTCTTGTAATTCTGTTGAAATTCCTGAAGCTAGTTGAGGGTCGAATTTAACCTTCAAATTTATTATTTTTTTCAAAAATTTTTATAGGTTTAGGGAAAATATATTCCTCGAAGTTTAACATTAAAAGAGACAAAAAGGTATCGACAAGTTAGGCAAAAACCCCTTAACCATTACAGTTAACAAAGGAACATTTCGAACTGACAATGAGAGTAAAAATTTTTTCATATAAATTATATCATCGTGTAGTGCATATCAATAACCTATTGCCAATTGGCTTATTTGACCCTGATCTGCATTTCGGAAAGTTATAGCTAATCAAAGTTTCAGTCCTTTGGAGCGGTTGAAAAAATAAAAAATTTTTTAAAAAAATTTTTACTCACAAGGAACTATCGTTTACTGTGACTGCGAATTTGATATATTTTTTGATACCATACGATAGAGGACCCTTGATTTAGTATTGTGGTGTGCGGGTTTTCTTGCAAAATTGGTTTGGGCCGAGTTATGGCCATTCAAAGTTAGACCACTAGAGTCTGAAGTTATAGTTTTTTTGAAAAAATTTTTACTCAGTTCTAAATGTTCCGTTGTAAGATGATTTATAAGGAAAAAACTTCAATTGCTTAACAAATATTTTTAAAAAATTTTTACTAGACAACCATGCTCCTACCAAACCAAAAATTAAAAAAAATTCTTTATTCTTTAACATCCATATAAATTTAAAAATTAATTTTTTTTGCAACTTACAGCAGCTATTCCACTCCTTTGAAACGGCATTTGTGGTTTGCAATTAATTAAAGGCAATTTTGAATGTAATTTCTTTTCAAGTAAAATTAATTCTTCATTAATTAGTTGATTAAAACGCTCTAACAAAGTTGTGTCAAATAATTGTCGATAAATAAGAGAATATGTATTTGAATTATTTTCGTGTCCGTCCTCTTCAATAAATGAATTTGTTGTTAACCAATCCTTAAAAAATTAGGTACTTTTCTGTTTTATGACCACACTTTAAAAATGTTTAAAAATGGTCATGAATATGGACAAACTATATGTCATTCGAAAGAGCTCTTCGAGCTGAGTCGAATAACACCAAAATCAACGATTAAAAAAACAAACCGAAAATTAATTTTAATTAGATAAATTGGAAAAAATATTTTTAAAGGAAAAGAGAACTATGAAAAATATTTTTTACCAGTAAAAGGACAAAATATGAATTTTCTCTACAAAATGAGAATTTTCTCTTAGGCTGATGATATTTTATAAACTACCTATTTTTTAATTTTCCAAAGAAAATAATTTTTTTCAAACCGTTTTGAAAATGTGCCCAACTGCAACAGTAAAATCTACTGCCTGTTCAACTCGTTCAAAGTGATTACACATTGCTTTGACTCTGTCACGTGCAATTGAACAAACTCTAAAAATAAAATTCATAAAAAATGTAAAGATTTCAAAGTTATGGGGACATTGAGGGATTAAAAAAGGATTAATTAAAGATTAAAAAAACAAACTCATTAATCCATTCAGAAAAAGCTCGTTGAATAACACTTTTCTCTTGCAATTTAAATTTATTTTCAACACATCCCCCATTTACCAAAACAATTTCTTTCTCAAGAATTCGACTAGTTGAGAGTGGCTGATCTTCTACTAGTTGCTTTATCTCTTCTAAAAAATTAATAAAAAATTTTTTTTTAATTTAAAAAAAACCTGGCGCCCAACCATTTTTTGTAACAAATTGAATTGCTGAAAGAAAACCTTGACCTCTTCCAAATGTTTGTTCAACACACTGTATTGTATCTTTTATATGACGAACTAGACCGAGAAGTGTAGAATCAGGTTGGTGAAGGACTTGAGAAACTATTTTCTAAAGAAAAATAATTTTTTGAAAATTTTCAGAAAAATTAAGAAAAAACCATTCTCGATTCCAAATAAAGTTTTAATAATTCAGAAACATCCATTCGAGGTTTTAACAATGCTTGAGCAGCCAAAAGGGTTGTAACAGAACGCCAATCTACTTCAAACCCAATATCCTCCCCAATTTCATTTAAAAGTTCAATTCTTGATTGAAATAAACGTTCAGAGAGAAGAGACAAAAGTAAAGGAACATTCTCGTCTTTTTTGACAAGTAGATGGTGTTGTTCAGTTTGGAGCTGTCTTTGAAGGTTTTCGGCTATACAGAGAGCAAAGGAACGAGTTAAAAGGTCGCTAGTTGAAGCCTAAAATTAGAAAAATAATAGCGACAAATAAATCTAGATAATGATGGCGAGAATATGTTCACAAAAATAAATCTAATTTTGGATCGAAGTTTGGATAAATCAATGTTTGGAAGAAAAAGATCGCTTTGGGTTTCTGTTTCCAAAATTTTTCTGTGATCCGAGTCAAAAAGTCCAGATAACAAATCCGAACCCTGTTTGGACCTTCCTAGGTCTGCGTTATTTTCTCTCACAATTAAGACTTTGAAGCCCTATAACTTTTCGAAATGGGGGTCAGGGGAAGAAAAGCCGGAAACACAGTAGGTAATCGACCACGCTCTATACGATGGTATAATTTTTATTTGAAAATTTTTGGTCACAGTTCGAGATGTTCCCTTGTCAGTCCGAAAATGTCTCCAAAGTTTTATTTCACCAAACTCCAATCCAATCTCTCTAATATTAATTAAAAATAAAAAAATCCATACAATAAGAGGTAAAAGTGTATGTAACAACAAAAGACGTCGACCAGCATTGACTACTGCCCTTTTTGTATATTCATAAGTTGAATCAGAATTTTGTTGAGCAGAAAAAGAACGTTTTGTATCATTTAATAAAATTGAAAGTTCTGAAGCTATTTCAGTTAATCTTTGAAAAATTAATTGAAAAAAATCTGTTAAATTAAAACCTTTTAACAGCATTAGATGCATCCAAAACATCTCTATAACGTCGACCAACCATTTGACGAAGATCTTCACGTTTATTTTCTGTTTCATTTCTGAAATTAATTAGATTTATTTATTCCATGAAAGGTTTTGTTTCTGTTTTTGTTGATAGGATGTTTCTATATCATTCAATCCAAAAGTTATAATATTTGGTGATGGTTACAGAAAATTTGAGCTCAAATTTAGGAAAGTTGGCTCAACTTTTTTAAAATTCCTAGGACCCTAATTTAAAGGACTCATCCGATTTGATAGTGAACAAATGGTGAGAGAAGTCAATGGGATTAAAAACCGCGTCAACTTTTACAATATTCAAAAATAGGTTTTAGAAAAATGTTCTAAACTTTCAATTTTTCCAAAATTACGTCTAAATTTAAAATCATTTCATACCTCAGTTTAGTTTGAACCTGAATCAATTGGTCAATACTCAGTTCTCGCATAAGATTGTCAACATTTACTGGCGGCATTGTTGTCTTTTTTCAACTAAAATTGTTAAATTTAAAAATAAATCTCAAAAATAAAATTGTGACAAAACAAATAAAAAATTATTAAATAATTATTGAAAAAATATATTTTATTCGTTAAATAACAGCACAAAATCAAACAAATTTTTAATTTGTTTTTACTTTTAATTTATAGAAAAAATAATTTTTTATTGTCAAAAACAATTATTTAAATATTTCCATCAAACAAAATTTTTTCACAATTTAATGGTCCGATTCTCCAGCCTTTCCAGCAACACGTCGAAATTCTGCCATATTTGTTGCCTGACTAACTGGTGTTCCAAAAATACGAAATTCTTCAATTATAGTTTGTTCACCTCCCCCAATGTTGTCCTCAACAAAAAGTTGAATATTGTGAATATTCTAAAATTAAAAATAAAAATTGAGAATCGGGATCAATATTTATAGAATTTTAAATGAAGAGAGGAAATGAAACCGAGAGTTGGTAGATGTAAGAAGAGATAAAAATTGGGGGAATTTTAAAGAATTCTTTTAAACTCCCAAATTAAAATTAAAAAAAACCAAGAAACCTGAAATTTGACATATTTCAAGGCGATTAAATGTTCCTGAGAAAAATCAACAGTCTGAACAGGCTCTGAAGACTGGGCAGCATCAAATCCCAAAGTAACGGGAATATTTGCAAAAATCTTAACATTTTTTGGTCCTTTCCCACCAGCCGGTCCTCGAAACAAAATTGAGTGAATTTTAACAGGTTGAACAAATGGCAAGTTAATTAAAAGTTGTTCGTCGCAGTCACTAACAAGAGGACCATTTCCATCGAGTAAATGACGTAGTGGATGTGTATCGTCCTAAAAAATAAGAGAAATTTAAGAGAACAAAAAGGAAACAAGTAAAGACATATAAAAACATTTGTAATTAAAAAATATTGGGACTCTTTGCAGACTCTGAATAAAGAGAAAATAAGTATTCTTCCTCTATTCCTCTCATTTTATGGGAGTATGAGGCCCGAGCTTAGAAAATATAATATACATCCTACAGAAAAATTTCCTTCTGGGGAAAATAACTCGCAGTTACAAATCTCCAAAAATTAAAAAATAATAAGGTGATACAAAATTCATTTGTTTGGGATAGAAAATTCGATTATAAAAATGAGAATAAAAAAAGAAACCTCATTTAAACATTCACATTGGCCTTTATCAATAAAATGTAGAATATCATGTTGACCAGGAATTGGAGAACTAACTTGCGTAGGACAATTAACAGACCATTTATGTACCAAATTTGAAAGAGCGCCTGCGTCAGCGCCCGTTAATATATCGACTCTTTGACTAAAAAGAATAAATTAATAAAATTAATAATCTAAAAATACCCATTTATGAGAACCAGAAATGTCGGCATAGCATTAACCATATATTTGTTCTTAGTTTCTAGAAATGTGAAGACTTATTAGATAAAGAATTTAAATGAAAATTTTAGGTTTAGAAATTGGCTCTTTTTTAGAACATTTTGAAAATAGCAGGCGAGAGAGCTTGATCAAAGACGTGGAAGCCTCTAACCAAGGAAGACTATATATATGTATGGATAGCGCTAAAAACCGAAACAAGATCATTCAAAACCTGATTAGTTAGTACAGTTCACGAATCTCATTAAAAATCCTAAAATTTGCTACGAGGATAAACCAAAGGCTTCGACTGCTTCACATTGAAATGCTCTCACCAATTTAATAATAACATCTCTTAAAATTAAACCTTTGCATTTGTCAACATCAACTTTGATAAACTTCAAGGTAGGGTACTTATTAGAAAGTTCATCAAAAGTTGGAGCAATCATCGAGCAAGGGCCACACCTGAAATATAATTAAAAATAGATTTTATAAAATTAAAAACCAAGTAGCAAAGAAATCAACAATACAAGGAGCCGTCCCAGCATTGAGAATTATTTTAGTAAATTCAGCATCCGTCTGTGGCTTTGCGACAGGCATTTCTTCCAAATTTTGAAGATATTGAAGTAAATGATTTTAAAAAGATGGGCTTAATTTAGAGAAAAGAAAAAAACTATTAGAAAAACTTTCGAAATAAAAATTTGAAATAAACAAAAACTTTTAGAAAAATATGCATGTCATTAAATTTATAAGTGTATAAAGTATATAATAAAATTATATAATCAAAGTAAAACAAAAACATTTTCTAAATACAACTCAATTTATATTTAAACTTCACTAAAGTCTCCTTCGCCTGGAATATTAATAACAATAGGCTCATCAATATCAAGTCCCGCTGGATTTTCTTTTGCTTCAACTTCCTAAAATTTACAAACTTTATGATAAATTGCTAAGAATTGGGAATATGTGGACTCACTCCCGAAACAAAATTTTTTAAAGAAATGAAGTTGAGAAAAAATTTAAAAAAATCCTAAGTCCTATTTACAAACAATCATACCTTTACAGAGTCCATTATTCGTTCGATTGTAACAACATAATTTCTCTTGGGGAAAGTAGCTGCTTCTTTTACCAAATCAGTTGTAACAACCGAGCCAGGAGGAGTCTTAAATCCGATGCGACCCAAATTTAATCCGATAAGACCAGCAGAACACCACACAGAGGCACCAGAGTCCCCATAATCTGATCCAACGTGCATCAACAAGAATGGCCCACGAATTTCTCCAGTTTCTAAATAATGAAAACTAGAATAAATAAAAAGGTTATATATGAACCTGTATTTTTAAAACGCTGCAATTCATCCGAGTGAATATACCCACCACCATGAGTAAGTTTATTGAATTTATTTCCATAACCGTACATGCAAATATGACGCCCTTTAAACGGCGGATCACAATGGTAAGGTTCAAAGTCATTTATGAGCTTATCGCTTTTTAACAGAATAAAATCATGTTTTTGAGAAATTAATTTAACAGTGGCGGTAAAGAATTGCTCCGAATCAGAATCATTATCATGACGATAGATTTTTATTGTTGTTTCAAGTTGATGTTTTAAATTTGAACCGTGACGGTATGTTACAAAGAAGTATTTGGTAACTGCAGTGACACATAACTTCCGATCATTTCTCAACATATAGAAAAGATAAGGAGACAGCGCTTTCAATTTAGGCGCAGGATCTAAAATTTAAACAAAAATAACCAGAAATTTAGAAAGATTAAAATACTTTGTACAACATTATTGACTTTGAAAGGAGATTCTATACGGCACGGAGAGCTATCAACTAGAATATTATAAAATTATTTTATTAAAGATCCTCTTCAATAATTAACGGTTTCCTTATTCCATATCTATAATTTAATAAGGTATCTTAACGGAAGTTAAAAAATTTTGAAGATCCCCGAAAGATGTTAACCAAAAATTATTGTGCCTAAAAAATGTTATAAACTAAGTTTAGTCCCACGTATCAAAAAATTAGTCAAAAAAAAGATATTAAAATTCTAAAATCCAAATCTTTAAAAAACTAACCTCGATAAATGACATTAAACTCCTTCCCCTTCCATCCACCATTAGGCGGCAAAAAAGTTTTATTATTATCATTAAATCTAAAGGAGATGACATGTATTTAAACAATTTTAAATAAACATACCGAACAATGCAAACACCAATACTTGAAGAATACTCTAAACCCCAACATCCAGGAAAACCATGCTCAACAGAAAAGAAATCCAAAGTTCCATCAGATGAGAGTTCAATCCACCTTTCCCTGCCGGTAGCTTTGTCTTTTACATAAACAGACTGAAAAAAAATTTAACGAATTCTCCAATTTTTTTAGGTGAAATATACTTCATCAGCATTTTCTCCTTCAACTACTTTAATTTTATTTTCATCAGACAAACTAGATTCACGATCAATGCTAGATACAGATCCACCTCCACTTGCATCATCATCAAGTTTAAGTTTTTTTGCATCTGAAGACATTTTATGATTTTAAGATCTGAATTTGTAAATAAATTTTTCAAAAAAAAACAAAAAACAAAATAAAAAATAAATGATTTTAAAATTTGCAAAACAAAAAATAAGGGTACGGCCCAAGTAGGCGCGGGCCAAGTAGGCGCGACCGAGTAGGCGCGACCGAGTAGGCGCAGGCCAAGTAGGCGCAAGGCCAAGTAGGCGCACGGCCAAGTAGGCGCAAGGGCAAATTTCTTAGATTTTACACAGAATTTTCTTTGTTAATCTTCAAATAATTTTGTTAATTAGTTAGCTGAATAATCAAGCAACTTTATTTTGACACTGGACTTTTTCCAAAACTGCCCTCCTTAAGGCAAAAAATTTATTAAGTGAAGTTCGGTGATGTTTTTATTTTTTGATAAAATTTAAGAAAAATCTTTTCTTGTAATATTTTTCTCATAAAAGCTCCATACTTAGCTGTCGATAAATTTTGGATTACTGGCTAAGTTTGTTAATTAGTGAAAGCCCCTGTGGCTTACCAATGCTATGAATACTAACTAGTTTTAGTTTAAGGGGGACTAACTAGTTTAAGGGAATGTTATGAATAAACAACCTGTACTAACTAGTTAGCCTTTAGGAACTAACTAGTTTAGGGGAACATGAAGTTTATACAAAGGTATAATTAACAATCAAGATACGACTAAAAACTTCTTCAAGGCGTTTCACAAAAAATCCAGCTACAGAGGAGTCTTTTGATGATTAAAAGCTTTTAATGGATTAAAAAATATTAGTGCCCGGCGCCGGACCGGATCCGGCCGGATTTTTCCGGAGTCCGGGTCCCAAATCCGGGTTTTTTTGAAATTTCCGGATTAAAACCGGACCGGATTTATCCGGAAAAATCCGGCCGGATCCGGTCCGGCTCAAGTTGCAAATCCGGAATCCGGATCCGGGTCCGGCAAATTTTGAGCACCGGATTTGGGATTTTATTCGGTTCTGGAATTTTCCCATTTTTTCTTGTATTTTTTTATAAAAAATGAGGATTTTTGACCCTTGTCTATATGAAATTCAAAAAATTTTCGCCTGCGGCGCTGAAAAAGGATAATTCTTCTTTGTTGGCCTTACAAAATTGGAGACGGAAGGCACGACTGAGTCCCCATTGTATATACCACAACTGAGTTTCAGTACTAGGCCGAAAATAGGGTTGGTATGGAGAGTCTAAGCTTCATAACCATCTAAACTTCAAAAAAATTTTGCCTGCGGCCCTAAGAATAGAATTTTTTCTCCTGAGGCCTTTTAAAATTCTCGAAATTTTCGCCTCCGTCTGTGAAAACTGGAAGAAATCTGGCTTCATAACCTTCAAAAATTTTCAAAATCTTCGCCTGCGGCGCAAAAAATGAAAGAAATCTGACTTTAGGACCTTCAAAATTCTCAACATTTTCGCCTGCGGCGCATGGAAGGAATTTGGGATTAAGAGGATCCCTGGAGGAAATATTGAAGGAAATCTTTGGAGGAAATATTGCTCCTTGGACTCCAAAATGCTCAAAAATTGGCAGGTACGAGTACGAGATAAAGAAAGGCCTATACGAAAGTAGGAGCAAATTTCAAAATCACGAATTACTTTATTTTTCAAACTTTTAACCTAGAAAAATCCACAAAATATCCTTCATAGCCTCCAAACTCCTTAGATATCCCCCTAGCAACATGTTGGGATTGGGTTCCGAAGCCTTTCGAGGATTATTCAAATTATATTCTTTAAATTATTTATTTACATTTAACTATTTACAAATAAAAATATATACATAGCGAAAAGAGGGAAAGGGGACAATTACAAGAGTCTGGCCAGAACTCACATAAACACTTCTAATTAGATATTAAGATAAGATGAATGACCATTTTGGATGAGTATTTATAGGGGACATTAACAGGTCAAGATTGGGGTAAACAAGTGAATAACAAATAATAATATAAGGGTCGGGAATTGTGATAAACTCTGATAACGGTCGGGATTCCTTTTAATATAGGAAAAGGTCAAAATATTTGTGCCTGTGAATGCACGTGAATACATCATTTATTTTTAGTTTGTTTATTTGATTAGGAGGGATGCAGCATTCCTTCCCCCTTTATTTGAACGTCCACGTTCAAAATTGTAGTTTAATTTTTTTTTAAATGAGGGTAATTTAGGCTATTTTATTAATGTAATATATATTTTTTTAATATTCTACAAGATTTAAGAATTTAATTTCCTCATCGTACAATTCCGAACGACGGTTTTTTTAATACTTCCTTACAATTTTACTCCGACCAAGCTTTATCTTTAAAATTTTAATTTTTATTTTGATTGTCTCTCGTCTTGGCGACGGCTTTCAAATTAATAGTATACTTTTATTAATTATTGTAAAAGCTATAATTCGCTTTGAATTATTCTTTAGTTTTCTTCTTTAATGTTTCTTTTTTTTTCAGCTTTTTTTTTTGCCAAATTCTCCGAAAAATTAATTATAGGGATATTACGTTGAAAAAGAAAGGGTTATGGGTTGTTTTACATGAGTACAGAAAAATTTTTGGTAAATAGACGGAAAACAAAGTGAGGTGAAATTTGGATAGTTAGCAATAAATGTTAAAAGGGGTTTTATTACAATCCAGTCAAACACTTTGTAGAAGAGCAGCGATTTTAGTTGAGTTCCTTTTTTGTTTTCAAGTTGCAGAGCAGACTTTTTGTTTCCATTTAGTTGATTTTTTGAACATTTCTTCATCCTTCCTGAGTTGATTTTGCTGCAGAGGCCTATGTTTTTATCGTTGTAGGAAGTTATCTTCTTCTGATGTTTCGGTCGATTCTCCCAATTTAAGACAGGGGATTTTTCTCTACTTTTTTCTCGGTTTTGGGATTATGTACTACATGTTATTTTATTAAATCTTACTTTTGGTTTTCTCAACAAATTTTCTAAAAAATATTACTCCATGTGCGACTTTTGCGTGTGACTTGTTGAAAATTGACGGCTTTTATCAAGTCCCGGTGAATTATTTTACTAACAATTTCTTCGGGCATTTCATTATTTTAAAACAAATTAGTGTTTTTCTCGGCGAGACTAATGTTTATTTTCTGACGGTATTTGATTTTTTTCCCTGCCGGTGTTTCAGCTTATCAATTTAGGTATTCATTTCCCTTTTAAACATTCGATTTGCCGGTGAATCTCCTATTTTTTTAGGGATGGGTGAAGACCTACATATATTCTTTTAGTTCTATTTTATTTGCTTCTCTTATCTCATATTTTTTTTAATTACTCCTATTTTTAACATTTTCAAATGTTTATTTAATTCTGCTTGATATTTTTCCGATACTTGGTAAGGTCGTCAATAGCCGGAATTTCAATGTTTGTTTAAATTGTCGGAGCAATTTATAATGTAAAAATTGTCATTTTCATTTTTTTTTACTACACTCGCCTTTTTTCATGTTCTATTTCTAATTTTTCTCGCTCTTCCATAGTAAGATTTCTTTTTGTCCTGCATTATTAATTAATTGTGTGTTTTTTTTTGAAATCAGATAAAGCGGGAGTTTTGTGCTTTTTTCTTCTCGGAAGCAGCGGTTTTAAATTTAATCTCTACTTTTCCTATAGTAGGTACTATTCTCTCTCCAATCTCTACTATGCCGTATATTTCAGGGGGTTGAATTTTATTAATTTTTAAGTTTTATGCCATCCTTTTACCTAACAATAATATGTGGGCTCCTTTATCTAATAGAATTCACATTGATTTGTCAAGTTAGCAACAATAGTTATTTGTGGTATTGCTCATTTATTAAAATTCTCTCATATCAAAAAAATTTATGTTAAATCTCAATTTAAAATACCATTTCTCTGCATTTATGAGTATTATTTTATTTTAGCTGTTTGATTATCACATTCTCTGCATTAGTGAGTGGTCTTTTTGCGATAATGACTTGTTTTGAACTGCTAAGTTAATTATTCTAATAACCTTTTAGATTTTATCTATAACATCGTTTTACAATATCTACGTTTTACAATATTTAAGTACAATATTGTATCAATACTCGTGAGTCTTACGTTTTCTAAACGTAGGTTTTGACGGTTTTATTCTTTTGCTTTTTATTATTTTAAGCAGGTTTTCATTTTTCAAAAATACATATTCTCTGTTTGATCTCTTTTATCTCTCTGTTTTATCTTTTGTAAGGTTATTTTATTTTTTTTTTCTGATTCTGTCTTTTCATTAAGTGAGCGGCCTATATTTTTTTTCAATTCTAAATAGGGATTTTTTTTTTGCTTTTGTTTTATATAATAGCCTCTGTTTTTAGTTGCAGGATTAGTTTAACTGACAAAACATTTTAACACGTTTATTTGAAAAAATACTTTCTTGTTTTACTCAATTTCATACTATACTTTTTTTTAAAATTATTTTGCATGCCTTTTTTTTTTCTCATTTTTGCGCAATTGTTTTCGTTGTATTGAGCCTAAGAAAATTTATATTCATTCTGATCATTTCTTTTAATAAAATTTCTGCGCTTGAAAAAAAATTTTTTTTTTTTTCACACAAATTTTCACAAATAGTATATTTTTTTTAGTTTTAGTTGTTTTAAATCTATTACCAATACAATATTCACAAAATTTATTTCGAGATACATATTTCTACTATCTCAAGGAGTATTTGGCTCTTTAAGCCTGCGGCGTATGCACCCAGCTTTACCCGCTTAATATCCTTTTCAGGGCACCTAGCCGACGGAGTGTGCACCTAGCTGCACCCGCCTTGATTCATTTCATTACTGTACAGATTTTCTTCATTATATTAAGTACTTGGCACTAAGCCGACAGAGTGTGCACCCAGCTTCACCTGCCTTCATTATTATATCTTTTTATTTACGTTAGATAAGAGATATGCAGAGGTAGCAAAGAGTATTTTTAAATACTGCGGCGCTACATTGTTTCTCTTATTTTTGATTTAAAACAAACGGTTTACTAATAATTTTTAACCAATCTCTTTTAATTTTTATCAAGCGATTTCATGTCATTCTTCTAGCTCAACTTT